TAAGAGTATTTAGGGAGGAGAGGGGGTGAGTAGGGCTGGGTAGGCTGAGGAAGTGTAGAGGTCAGGTCAGACACAGAGGCCAAGGGTGAATGAAAAGGAGGGGAGAAAAGCAGACAGCTGGACAGAGGTGCAGACGTTCGATCTCCAGAAGAAAATGAAGGTGGCTTAAATGTTGAGGAAAGACAAGATCTGATTACGCTTGTGTCCAAGATGAGGTGACATGTCTTTAGAGAATACCCCCAACTTAAAACTTAGAGCTACCACATACTCAGACGAGTGGCACATATGGTGAGTTCTTGCTTTAAAAGCACTCATGTTTTCTTTTGAATTGGATCCAAGATTCCCAATGAGTACAATCAGTTCAATTTTTTTCTGACATGGGTGGCTAGAAGCAAGGACAGCCATCATCTACACTTTTATAATATATTTATATGATGGCTTCTACATGAAGAGATAAAGTATCTAAAACTTTGCAATGACTCTTTGTAACTTGCTTGTGAAGTGCATCTTAGTAGAAACAGTTACAAAGCTAGGGAAGTTATGGGACTTTAACCTGGAATTGGACTACTCTCTGGGTAGCCAGTTCCTCATCTTTGAAGTATGGATCATAATATAAATCATCTTACTGAGTTCTAAAAGGCAGAGATGGTAGACTTCTTAGCAGACTGTATAGCAGTTAGAGCTCAAGTGTTAGCCATCATGATTAATACTGGAAATAAGACTATATAAATGACAATGGCTATTTAAATATGAATTTATAGTCATAAATAAATAAATGACTTCATATTATAGCATATATTTACATCATATTAAAATTCAGTGTTTCCATTCAACCCACCATCCTGACTTACATAGTGCTTGTGGTTCTTATAAGAAAGCTTCTAAGGCAATGTCAAAATTAATGTTTGTTAACATGATTGATTAGCTGTACTAGCTAACGGTAGTAACACTGGTTAGCTCTTCTGATATTAGTCTAAATTAAAATACCTCATTACTGGCTTTTATGGGCTTGCTGTCTTCCTTGGGGGTCCTAGGGTCTGTGGGGGTGGCTACCAGATATTTTAAGCCATCAGGTTTCTCCTCCTCTTCCTCCTCTTCAATGTGCAAACTTGTGATCAACTCCGTGCCATCCTGGCTACACCACAAGACATCTGGTTGCTGAGATCCTGGCCCTCTTTGGCTGCCTGACATAAACCCCTCATGGACTTCCTCATCTTCCTCTCCAATGACAGGGAGGGTTTGGGATAAGGGACCCACATTAGTGTGTGCAGATACCACGAACTTATCACCTAGGACTTCAGGTATTTTGTCAAGGTTTGCAAAGCTCTTTCTCATTTTTGTCAAATCTGCAAACTTATTTTGGATTGTTTTGCTGGGGTTCTGACTTGGTGTTACCGCAGAAGACTGGGCTGCAGCTGAGGTCTCACTGGAGCGGGGCAAAGGCAGCAAAGAGGAAGGTGATTTGGCAGGTGTAGATGCTGGAGGCAATGGGAGGACAGAGGGCTCCTCCTTAATTTCAAGGGTGATCTCCTCTTGGATATTTGATTTGGCTTGGTCATCTGGTAAGGTTAAAGCACCAAGCGTCTCTAATTCATCCAAGAAGCTGTCCAGAAAAGATAGTGTTGGGGCCAAAGGGTTTGCCGGCGGACACTTGGCTGTCAGGGATAGCCACCCCTGGGAGAGTCCCTGGAGAGATCTTTCATCTGAGCCAGGTGAAGCCTGTGCATGGGAGGAAAGGCTGGTGTATCAGAAGCCAATTTAGAAATGATCAGGGATTATGAAATATAAACCAAACAAGATAAACAAACCAAGAAAATAATAATAATGCATCAAAACAGAAAGAGAAATGCAGAAAAGATGTGATAGTGACAATTAAGAAATATTTTATGTTATGACTAGATTGGAAGATATTTTGCCAAATCTAAATATATAAGGTCATCAGCATGTTAAATTAGAAAATTATAGAAAAATCAAGCTATGGATATTTGGAAGAGGTCTTCAATATTAAATAACAAGATAAAGCTGTCTTAGAGGTTATACAGACAGATAGCAACACCTTAAGTGGCTTAATGTAAGACTACCTCTTTCAAACCAGATGTCCAGATACTGATTTAGTAGTATAAATAATGAAATAATGTAATGGTAGAATGAAAACCAATAATTAAATCTTTTTTGTCTCTTAATTTATTTAATGTTCTTCCCACCCCACCCCCATAGTGTTGCAAAATCTATGGACTGCTATAATTTTCTCTCTTAATGTTTGTAATTGTGATTATAATATATGTTGTGAGATATTTTTACACAAATGATGTGAACACATTTCTAAATAAAAATGTTCTGATAAATATGTTTCAAGAGTAGGAACCCATGATCAAAATGAAACTGAACTTACATAACAATGAATCAGAGTTAAAAAAAATCCAAAATAAACGTTTCCATAGAAAAGGAGCTTAGGATGGTAATAGAAATAAACTTCTGCTAGGACTCCCATTCTTACTCTAAAACTTGACATATTATGTAAACCTGTGGAGATTCAGTTTATGAAATTTAATTTCCTAAAGTAAAACATATATATATATATGTATCTTAATATTATTGCTATATTTAGATAAATAATTCTAGACATGCTATTAAAATCAGTAACATTTTAATATTTGTCTATTGTTGCTGGACTAGAAAGAATGCTGCATATATTATACATAGATATAATATATATTGCAATTGGTTTTTACTTACTAAATGCAGAAATATCAGAGATAATATAAAATATACTTGGGTTTCTCCTAAACAAAAATAGCATGTCAAGAAACATGATTTGATAATATCAAAGAGTGATTCATAAATCATTTGAGTTCTTTCCTTTATTTGCAAATGAAAGTTTGATAATAGGATTTATAACTTTTAGTATATTTTAGATATCATCATTCAAAAGTACCTTATAGTTCTTTTTCTGGAAGTGATTATGTTAAATACTACTAAGAAGTTTCCTTCATTAAGTTACTGATATCAGCATAAATTACCAGTTAGGTGGAAACCATTAAATTTTTTTTTTCAAATTATGGACAAACATCTTAATATTTTTTTCCAGCACTGAGAATAAAGCACTAATTAGTTATTAGTAAAATATGTACATTTACCTATTTATAAAGTGTAAAATCTGATATTATTATAAAAATCGGAAACTGAAGATACATTTAAATCATATTCACAGCAAAGATTAAAGCATCGTGCTCTAAAATATAGTTTTGCCACTATTACGATATTATGGAAGAATTTCTTAAATGTTAAAAAACTCTTATAGATGCATATTTACTCTTACAAAATTTTGTTTGAAAATACAATTGCACTGAAATTTATCTGGTAGTTCTTTTAAGATGACTGGTAGATAAGACATATATATCTTTATCAGTAGGGGCTACTGAAAAAGGATATTTATCTCTAAATGTTAGTAGTAAAGTAAATACACTAAAGAAGATTCTGGAAAATTTTATAATCATGAAAATAAAATAGAATAGTATCAAACTTGCCCTATAAGTAAAACTCAGTCTTAATCAAGAGTAGAATAAAATACCTAGTAGGAGTCCTCTTAACAGAAAATAGTTCTCTTAATGAAATAAATCCTTAGTCTGTCTACTGATGCAATGTCCTTCTAAGACTCATTTTCTTTTCTTTTTTTTTTTTTAAAGATTTATTTATTTATTTATACAAGCACTGGGTACAGTCAGAAGCCGGGAGGGTGAGAGAGTTCACCAGAGCCAGAGCGGGGAGCAGAACAGACAGACTGACGAAATACACTGCTAAAGGGAGCAGCGGGCGCAGCAGGAGAGGTCTGCGTGCCATGTGGGACCCTCGCCAGTGGCCGGGGAACTGGCTCTGCAGAGGCTGCAGGCAGCTTCACAACCCAGCGCTCTACCGCTGTGCCACCGGGGAGGCTCCTAAGACTCATTTTCAGGGAGTTCAGATCACTGGGGATGCTATCTTTAAATGGTCTTGCACTGAAACATCAATGACTTCACATTTTATTAAAGTCATACAATAATGTCATTTTGTTAGTTGTAGATGGCTTATTTTTCCACACCTCAGTCTTGATATCAAATCAAAAAATAAATGATACAACTTAATAATTTTTTAAATGTTGGGAAGTACTTACAATATTTTGAATGCAATTCTTCAATAATTTAAAGTTTTGTACTTGGAAGTTAATGAAAAGGAGAAAGAAATCCCTAAATACTAGCCATAAAAAGAACACAATGCATTATAATTCAACAGAAAATTAAGGAAAATTCACATCACGAGTAAAGAAAGATACTGGAGGCACTTTCTAATTAACTAGTGCAAGGAAACAACGTCTGTTTTGTAATACAAGATGCGAAAAATAGTTATCTTTAGCTACTAGCTCAAGTGAGACAGGTTTATAATTGTGCTAAAACTAATGCAATAAACCTGTGGTTTTCTAATAATCTATAACATTTTCAGTTAAACTAATAATCAAAAATGACTTATAGACTGCAATTTTAAATTTTTATTTTAGCTCTCTTCCTATATAAAAATACTCCAAAACTTTTAGTGAATTTTGTCAACTATGTATCGTTGAGATAAACCATATGGGGATTCCATCCATTCATCCATCCATCCCATTTGAAATACACATTTTCAATTTTTTTTTAGATAAAAGTCAGGTTTCAGAAAAAAATATTTGTTTCAGAAAGCACACACACATATCAAATAGGGTTTTATGATACTAATGTTTTCTTTTCCTCTTTTAATATTTTAAATTGAAATATAAATTATCAAAATGAAGCATACATCTTTATGCCAGGACTTATTACAGAAAATTAAATTATGTTAACTTGATGTGGCATACACACTTAGAAACATAGCATGTCAATCTTCTTCTATAAAGTGCATATAATTTATAGTCTAATGACCTCAATTCATATATGGATCATCTTATTCCCAACTCACAAGTAGTTTACTAATATGCTAGAATGTCTCCTTACCTTATTTGAACTTAGGCTGTGGATTCTGTCACTAGAATAGCTGTGGGGTATTGGTGGGTCAGGGTAATCTTCAGCACCTTTGGTTGCGTTCTTGATGACTTCTACATAGGAAACAGGGAAGATGCCTTGTCTGTTGGTTCCTGGAATTTTACCTTCATACCAGTTTTGATCAACTCTTTTAAGAAGAATAATTCTATCCCCCTGCAATGAATATTAGGAAAATACATTATAAATAGAGACATGATAACATAAAAGATATAATCATCAATATTTTCTAATAAATAATAGTTTTCCATTTGGGAAACTCTATACCTCTTTTTTTTTTAATGAGGAGAATGCAAGTAAAGTCCTAGAGCTTACTGGGACTTTAGGAAAGATTATCGACAGATTATTGACATATATGCAACTTAATCATCCATTCATGTCATCAGAATCTTCCGTCTGGATGCTTGGTTACTGAGCACAGGCTTAGCCTTGTTCATACTTGTACTGGGTGACATGACCCATGTAAGTAATTATAAAAAGCAGAACAGCTTAACAAGCAATGTGTCAATGACAGCAACAGCATCCTCTCACTGTAGATGCAAGGGAATGACCTTGTGTAGGAAAATGATAAAAAAGCTACACCAGTTTGCTCTGATGGTGTGTCTGAAATGGATTGCAGAAATAGGCCTTTCGAAGGCATGAAACTGAATGGCATGTTCTTTTTCCTTTTTAAACCATATGTGCTAAGTAGTATAAAAGAATGAAACTACAAGAACGGGGGCAAAGACAACATTCTAGATAATCCAGCTGTGGCTGGGGCTGATGTCTGCCTGGTCTGCATCAAGACAGTGCCATACTCGTCTCTGTTCTGATTAGTGGGTGATCATTTACCATTGCATGGAACACCTGGCTTTTGCACTAAAAGAGCTTCCTACAATCACTTCCTGCTACCTGCAGGGATCAAGCTATGTCCACAGTACCCAGTTCAAATTTGAACTTAAAAATTGGTGGCCCAGAAATAAACAGGTAAACAGTGGCAAAAGAGCAGGTGCTATGGAAGTCTCAGCAGCTGCACCTGGCAGGATGATGGGGATAAGAGTGAAAACCTCAGCCCAGTGGGGAGGCTTCTTCCAGGTGAAAGTTCTCCTCTTCCAATATGCTGGTGACTTAGCCTGTCTCAACACTGCTGAGCAGAACACACTGAAAAAAAGTGGATGTCCCTAAATCTTGTTCTAGTACACTAAGAGTAGACTGTAGCAAGGGCCAAAAATTCCTCTGGTGAAGCTTCTCTTTGAAGGATGAAACACAAGCTGATACAGGGCATGTACTGCTGTGCTGGGGTTTGCTGGGTAGAAGGGAATCAGCTGATGATGCAGAACTAGGATGGAAAGGGGAGAAGGAGATGAGGTTGTTTCCCCAGAACAAGAATAGTGGATTCCCTTCATTGCTTCTGGGGAAGGTCTTCACCAAGAGGCAGGCGAAGGCCTAGACTGGCCCTCCTTATTGCTCTCTAGTTGGTGTTGTGTGCTGGGATGGGGTTACCTCGCACAAATGCATGTGATTGCCTAGCAAACAATAGAACTACTTCCATTAATCTTTCCTAAAGAGTTCTTTTAGATGTTGTTGAGGAGAAATACTTCGATTGGAAAGGGTGCTAGTGAAATTTGGGTCAGTCACAAGGCCTAGTGATGGCTGATGTAGAAACAATATGTTACAGATGATACCTCAAGAGGCCCCTCAGAGAGGAAATATCTTCATCACTTCATTGCCTTGAATCCAAGTGAAAGAAAAGTAAGTACTGGTATATCTCTTGAGGGGGGGAGAAGAAAGAACAAAATTTGAAGTGCATTAAAATGCTTTTACTTTTGATGCTTCATTGTGTAATTCCTTGCTATTCAGCCCAAGGAACCCCTTGGAGAAGATTTGAGGCCTCCCTGGCTAAACCATGGAGAAAAGCTTTGTATTCCACAGGGGACATTCATCTGGAAGGACACAGGAGAGGGAGGAAACAATGACAGGGTGGCCTTATGAAGCACTTTGTAGAAAGTGGAGGAAACACAAAAATGTGTAAGTCATTTTATTTTTGAAAATATGCCTTCTGTTAATGCACCAGTGAAGAAAATAGCCTGTTACCTTCCTCAGGGAGAGTTCCACGTTTGTGTCAGCATTGAAGTTGTATTTGGCTATAGCTTCTCCGATTTCTCCAGGCTGGGCTGGGGGAGGTGGTCTTGCAGGTTGTGCTTTTTCAGGAGGTAAGAGTTTCTATGAAAGAAAACAATTATTTATTTTGGGCCTGTGGTGGCTTTAGGAACACCCACCATTTAAGAGGAAGAAGATAGACTCACCTCTACGTATGAGATTGGGAAAATGCCCACTCTCCCATGATGCTCTCCCTCATACCAGTTTTGATCGATTTTCCTGAGGATGTAGACGGTATCACCTTTCTTGAATGACAACTCCCTGGAAGAGATATGTTTGTTTGTCTTCTTGATGGACAACATTTACTTTTAAGATCAATGCACTCACTAGATCTGTATCTGGCTGGAAAACATAATTTTAACTTTAAAAAATCTATCCAGCCCAGTTGGATTAAGGATTTTCCTTAAAGATTCTTAGGATTCACTGAGAACATTATAACTGTAGAAATGACCACAAAAATAAGTTGTAAACACATAGTGTCTGATATAAATCACAGGCAGATTGGCATGAAATTTAAAGAGGGGTAGAGAATTGTTATTTATTCCTACAATGGCAGAGGAGTTGAAGCTTGACATGCACTAACTGTTTCATGTCCTGAAGCTAGGAAGCTAGTTAGATTTCTGCAAAAACTTACCAGAAAGAAAATAAAGATCATTTTTATCTGTGAATTCTTAAAGCTGGTTGACAGGCATTTAACTAGAGTATCTTGATAAAGAATTTGTTTTTTTGAAACAGAAAAGATCTTATGGTTTTATTTTTCATGTGAGCACCAAGATAAACATGTTTTCTAAGTGCAGAGATTGCTAGTGGCTTTATTTATTTCTTTTGCTTTTAAGAAAGAAAAACATTTTTAAGGATTAACTATACCTTTCCCTTTTGGCTGCTTCTCAGAAGATAGTAGGTAATTTGAGTATTTAGTTTTAAGTATAAAGACATTACTCATTTTGAAAACTTCATGCCTAAATTATTACTCCCCCCCCACACCTGTTTTTTATGGTTTCATCATCCAGGCAATCATGTCTGTTTGTTGTTTTGCCTCCACAGTTATTTTTTGTTGGAGGGCACTTATTTTCTACCTTTTTCTTCCAAAACCCCTCCCACTCCTGAATCATCTCCTTTTTTAGTTCAGAATATTGATTTGGATCACTTATTTGTGAGCGAGCCATAATAGAGACAGATTTATAGCAGATGTCGGTTATTTCTCATTGATTAAAATAATTAAGTAAAAAGACGATATTGTATATTAAGAAAATTTTCACATAGTTAGAAGTGCTATAATCTTCTCATGGAAAGTACTTTAAATTTTGAGTAAATCTAAGACAAAGATTCACAGAACCTTGCATCCAATTATTGTATCATTTTATGCTGGTGCCTGTTGTAAAAAAAAAAAAGCAAAACAGAAACCAAAATCCAAAACATTTAGTGCCAACAGTTTTGTTTGTGTCAGGGATGTTTTGTTTCTGGAAAGGAGACTAGGGAGTTTCTTTTTAAAAGAAAATATGCCTGTAACTTAGAGAAAATGAATTATCTTTCTTTTAAGTATGCAAAGAGAGGCCTCCCAGGTGGCACAAGGAGTTACACGTCAGCACTATGAAACAATCCACAACTACCACAGCACGAGTTCAATTCCTGGCCAGGGAGGTGACCCACATGGCGCAGCAGACCTCTCCTGTCTTGCCCACTGCTCCCCTCAGCAGTGTATTTCATCAGTCTGCCTGTTGTGTTCCCCACTCTGTCTCTGGTGAATCCTCTCACCCCGCCCCCCGCATCTCTGGCCTGTACCCCAGCACTTGTATGCATAAATCAATAAATCTTTAAAAAAAAAGAAATATGCAAAGAAATCTTCTGTTTATAAAAGTTTGTGTTGGCATCACCTACATAAAGGACAGTAGCCTCACAACAGAAAAACTGCCTCTCTCATCTCAGAGCTATAATGTCTAAGAGTCCCATTTGGTCTCTCCGCTAGGCCCCCCCCCACCCCAGTTTTGAACAGTGCAGTGACCTTTGACATCTTTAGAATTAACATTTTATTTTTTTTCCTATTTAATAATTGAGACATTTCCTTTGGTGAGTTACTTAGGTGTATTTTTTAAAGCTAAGTTTTCTTGTATCAGATAAAGAAAAATAGCTTTTAAAACATATATTAAAAGCAGACATATTTATCTCCTGTTTTTAAGGTGTTAGGTATAGAAACACTCACATGTAGCTATTAGTTGAAAAGACTTAAAATGGGGCTAGTTCTATAACTTTCAGTGCTGTTTGGGTGTGTGTTTCAAAGCTGTAGAATTCATCCATCACCGTGGTTTGTGTGTCAAATGGGTAACCATGCTGCAGATGATAACTAAGTGCTCTTTACATCTCTAAGAACAGATCATTAAGATTAAGATGCTACAAGTTAAATTAATTTATTTATGGTATCTTTTTCCTTACTAAAATGGCTTCCATAGGTGATTCTTTAATCTATTTCTTGGAAGACTCATACAACTTGCAATTTTTTTTTGTGGAGGCGGGGCTGTGGCTAAGACGACCTTTGTGAAAAACAGGGGTGGTGCAGGCAGCTTTTCAGAAAGGTCCCACTATTTCTGCTCCTGCAGTGACATATGGGAAAGCAGGCTTCCTGGAACCTTTGCTATCTCTGGTGTACATGATGAGGACGTTACCCCAGGAGAAGGCAAAGTGCTTGGAATTGGGAGCAAACAAAATCCAGGGACACAATCAATACCCCAAGCACCTTTCCTCTGCATGGCACACCACCTGTCTCTCAAAGCTTGTGTTTTTATTAAGGCTTTTCAAAAAACTTGTGAACCTGGGTGGGTGCCCTTCCTATCTGTGATGCCCTGTCATTCCTCAGGGTTTTAATACTTTTAAAGAAGCTTTTGGTTGACTGTCACAAAGAAGAAATAAAACTGAAGTGATCTATATTATTATTTTATAATCCCCATGTGCATCATCCAAATCGTCAGGCAATATCCAAAGAACAATCTGTAGGCTCAGAGTGTAGTTGAAACAAAACAGGTCTGACTTACATAACAAAAGATTTTCTTCCAGATTCTTCTTTTAAAACCAGATTCAAGCCATGTTTGGCATCTTAATTTCTAAATAGTACTCTTTTATTTAGTTCATTCCTTATTTCAGAAATATTATCAAATTCTGAGTATTTTCATTTTTATATCATCTGCCAAAGAGAGTTTCTAGAGCTAGTAATACATATAATATGCATTTTCTATGAATAAAAAATTTTGGTTATTTGATATATATAAATAGTATATGCAATAAATATAATAAAACTATATTCAGTCTAAATACACAATGTAATTTAATGCTAACTGATAATGAATTCAATGTATTGAACTCTTAAAGCCAAAGTTTCTCAAATGAGGTCTATGTGCATTGTCTACAAAGATCCAGCGGACTCCCTATTCTTCAAGCCTGTTCATGTATTTGCACTAGCCTTCTTTCAACTACATGCCCATCTGATGAACAGCTCCTAAAGAAAAAGATTAAAAGCTATTTATGTATATTAAAATATATATCTCAACACAGGGGCGTTGAAACACCAATCTCAAAAGACTACAGGATAGAGCTTTGCTCAGAAACATCAAGCTCTGCGTATTGAGACATGGAGTCTTTTACTATATGAATCTTTGTATACAACCCCAGTTATCAATTCCACAAACAAATCTTGATATGTTGGACAAATAAATGTAATCAAGGTTTCCAAGTTAGTATTAATTATTCCCTACTTTATTTTTCTTTCATTCTTGACACAAACATTCAGAAACAAAGATATCCTTAACTTTTTAAGTGTTTCTTTCTAGCCCATTGTGTTTTGACATGTTTAGTGCAAGTTCGATAAAAATTCCATGTTTGTTAACTAAACTCAAAATAAAATTAGTTCTAAAGAAACCATTTAATCAAGTAAGTTGTTGAACTGAAAATTAGGCCTTATTTGCAACTTATCCTATTGCAATATTTAGCTCTAAAGTATTACTAAAGTATTTAAAGCTGACTTAAATCACATAATGAACACTTATGTTACTTACTTAGAAGTCTGAGCCTTAAAATCGTAAACAGCTTTTGCAGGCAATTTCTAAAAACAAAGGGAAAAGATTAACGCTAATTTAAAACTTGTGTTTCCTGCAAGAAAGCAAATTCATGTGAATTAATGAGAAATGAAACCTCATGGAATGATTAAACAGATATAGTGTGCATCTGATACACAATTTATAAACAAATTGATTAGCTTATCATTTAGATATTTAAACTCTAATTGGAATATAATAGATGACATTCATCTAAACTATTGAATATCATATTTTATTTTAGGAACTAAGGGAGATGTATGCCATAATGGGGAATAAAATTCTTGCAGTAAATTCTAATCCAGCTATAATTTTGGTTGCATACAAGGTTTTTCCTGGGATAGTTGTGGAGGTTAAATCGTTCTGTTCTATGTATTGACACAACTCCTTCTGAATCTTAATAAAAGGATTAGAAAAAGTCATTGTAAGGGCAGGACAGGACACAGTGCAGGTTTTCTGATCCCATGCAGATCGGGTAAAGGAGGAGTCAGAGTCCTCAGTAGTTTTGCAGGTTTTTTATTTGGGGTTCACCAGGCATATGGCAGGCAGGGGTGCTGGCTGGGGGGCTGGGAGGCTGGCAGGCCTCCCAGCCCCCAGCAAGTCCTCACTCTATCTGGGCTCTCTAGCGTTCGTTCTGCTGCTTCTCGGCTTCGGCTGCGGCTGCGGCTGCTGCTGCTGCTGGTGCTGGTGCTGGTGCTGCTGGCGTCCCCCCGTGACGCCGCCCTTAAAAGCACAGTCTTAGCTCAGCTGAATCCCATCTACCTATGCCCACACCCTATTCCAGGTGCCCACCATCAGGCATGCATTCAGGACAAGGATCCATCATCTATCCTGATGGCGGAAGGGCAGAAAAGCCTGATATTTTCTTTACCCTACAGTCATGAAGGAAGTGATCATCTCTTTTACTAAACACTTACCAACATGTTATCAAAGAGACATTAGCTCAGTTATTAATGGCCAACAAGATATGCTTGATCATTTTTTTGTTCCTTGGAGGATTTAGGAATTCTTCAGCACACAGTAAATCACCTTATACCTGTTAGTCATGATATGATATGACACATGCACACCCTCAAACTTTGGGGCCCACAGATCTATCTGGGGGTGCTGTACCCTATAGTTAGCTACTCCATCTCTTCCAAAAATGCATTCACTCCACACTCCCTGTGATTCTGGTGAACTTCAAGCAATCTGGACCCTTTTCCTGAATTCTCTGGGGTCCTACAGGCACCTACCAATATCAGACAACTGCAGAGATGCTTCTGGAGTGGCTGCCAGTCCAAGACCAGCTTTGAGTTTTGGTCTAACCTTCATGTCTCTAAGATAGGGTGAGCTAGAGCTCCAGGCCTGGCTCAGAGGATGGACAAAGAGCCAGTGGCAGGTGATTCTTAGCAACAATGGTGATTTCAGGGATCTTCTACAAAAGCAGAAATTGTGCATGGTAAACCTCTTTTCTCCAACTCAAGACTCTTTTAGATCACACTGTTAAGTCATGGGCCTTAGGACAAGACTCAGAGGCCTCACTTCCAACACTGGACACAGTCAAGGCAGAGCCGCAGCTAGGACCAGCACGCAGGCCCCTTCAGCACTTGGCTCAGGCTTCAAGGGAAATTGTTTCTAGTTCTTTGTTGTCATTTCAAGGTTTTAAATCTGATTTCTTTACCAGTTTGGACATAAATTTGGCTAGTAAATGTTTTATCAAGTACGTTCTTTAAAAGATTAAAATGCTATTAAACGAACTACCTCTTTTTCTGGAGTTCCTCTTCTTTCCCTTGGTGCACTTCTTCCCAAGTCAGTCAAAGTGGAAGATGAGTAACTTCTTGGGGACTCGTGATCTATTGGAAAAAGCAGGGCAGAGTGAATATCCACTTAATTAAAAACAGACTAGTTTAACTACTTTCCCTGGTAGCAACTATTTTCGCCCTCAAACTTGGAGACACCACAATGGAAAACACATAGGTAATTATAAAATTGTGATATAAGACACACAAAGAGTATTTCAAAAGGAAAAATATCTGAGCTTGCAGAAGTATTATAATTATATATGAATATAATTGTTGCATTGCTAATGTAATTGTGCTGCAGCATTTGGGGTAGACAAGTAATAGCTGCAGAAATTTCTCATCTGAAGGATTTTTAAAAATATCTCCTATTTCTATTTCTTTTGCTTCCAATTTATAATTACTATGAGAAGGCCTATAGAAATAGGGAGAATTTGAAAATTGCAACAATGTATAGAAACCACAGTTAAAGAATGTAATGATGAGAAAGGAGGAGACACAGATCAAGTATGAGGATGACAGAACTGTGATCATATCCATTGTCCACTTCCCTCTCTGACTCACTCATTTACTCATTGAGTTTTAAGAGGTAGGCTTAACTGGCCTTTTGCTATGGTCTTCCCATAGCTCAAATGTTTTATCAGAGTTATTCAATTGCTGAGAAAATATTGAATTTCTTGTTCACCTTAAAACCAAGTATAAATCATTACATTTCAAAATTATGATTGTTTAGTATCCTTTAATAGTAACTTATACTCTACAACTTCATATGTGGAAATGTAACGGGTGGTTAAAACTATTCCAGTAGTCTATATTAGAGCATTTTGCCAATATAATGTGGTCAAATTTGTAAATTCTTTCTCTTATACCTTTAATAAATTTAGATAGATTGAAAAAAGAAACATTAAAGATATGTCAATTTACAAAAAAATTAAAAGTGCCAATCCATAAAATGACAATGTTATTTAAAGGTTTGACTTTTAAAGTCTCCCTTAACTAAACAGAGAATGGTCTATTTATACAAGTGCAATGTCAGTTACATGACGCATCAGTCTAACTTTCTGTGAGTGGTGAATTACAAGGCCTTCGGGTTTAAGAAGGTAACATGGCCATAAATATTTCTGGTAAAACCTCACCACTTATTTTCATCATGTGAGAGGGTTATGTGCAGTATATTTTTCATTAAATTAATATACTTTCATGTTCATGGGGTTTAAATGACTATACAAATGATTAAACAAAATTGAGAAGTGAATATTTTATTAAAAAGCAAACTATCCTTTAAATGTATTTCAAAACCCTCTCAAACATTGTTTTAACGATGTGCTCTGACTACATGTGAAAATTAGAAATGACTAATTAGGGCACTCGAAAACTAGAAAAGGTAGCTGATTTATTAAAAACTTGCAAGATGGCATGTCTCAGTTGGTGAAATTTCAAGTTGTAGACATTTGGACTATAACCAAGATGAAAATGCATACATTGTGCAAAAATGAAAAATGATATAAAAAATATAAAATTAAAAAAATAATTAAAAAATTAAAAAATACACAGTTAAAATACTAAAATAAAATAAAATAAAAATTCTAACATTTATTGTTTTTGAAGTGTGTTATATAGTGTAAATGAACATAAAGACAAATACTAAAAAGACAGCAAATCTGCACAGTGGCAATTAACAATTGGGTCATATATACTGCATTTTACAGGAAGTCTGAGTGGTCCCTTTTTTGTCTAAAGAGATTGTATTTTATACTACAAATTCTGAAATACTAGGAGTTTGGAAGTTGTTTCTGCTACCTTATTTTATGTGACCTCAGATAATTTTTTTAAAGATTTATCCATTTATGCATGCAAGAACTGGGGTACAGTCACAGGTGCATGGGGGTGGTGGTGAGAGGATTCACCAGGGACAGAGTGGGGAACAGAACAGGCAGACTGACTGAAATACACTGCTGAGGGGAGCAGTGGGAGAGACAGGAGAGGTCTGCTGTGCCATGTGGGTAGCTCCCTGGCCAGGGATCGAACTCAAGCTGCAGGGGCTGCGGATAGCTTTGTAGTGCTGTGTTTAACCCCCTGCGCCACCAGGGAGGCCCTCTCGGATAACTTCTTATCTTTTTTCGGTCTCAATTTTCTCAGTTGTGGAACAGAGCTTACAATAATACCTAGCTCCTAGGTTTATGCCAGTGCTACTTAGATGATGTCTGTAAAGCACTTTGCAGTGTCTTGTTCAATGGGGACTCCACTGATGATCCAGATTTCATCCTGGAATGTCCATTTCAGCATCTTAAAATGTACATAGTAAAAAGATGCACCCCAGGAATTAGTGAAAAGAATTGGCTAAACATATTAAAATGCCTTGTGTTTTCAGATATATAACTCAAAAATATCTCTGCTTTTGAACTGCCATTTGGTCCCTGTGCTGTAACCTCAAGATGATAATCCATTTAAGAAAAGGGAGTTAAGACTCACTTTTAACGTAAGTAGTTTAATTTAAATGCTACTAATTTAAATGTTAATTGTTTTAGCAGAAGTAGAAAGGAAAGTAACAGAAAGAGAAAATGAATATATAGAGTGATGGAAATAAGGCTTTTATATAAGCTTAAAGACATTCACAAAAATTTTATCCCAATTGTGTCCTTTAAGTGGAGAAAGTTATTAAACTGTTTTACTATTTTTTTAATCATCCATCAGTTATTATGCTATTATGTACTTCAGTTTCGCTTCCTGAATGTTTTGATGTAGAATCTTCTCCATAGAATGTGAGCACATTATTTATTGAATGCACAACTTTAAAGTGAATATAAAAGTCAAGGAAAAGATGACTGGTTGAACTATGGGTTTTGATTCATTATAAAACAACAACAAAAAGAGCAAATGCAAAGTTGTCAGTCTCTTAAGGATACGTCTATTCAATTACGGTTTCTGTCTTGAAATCTTTCTAAATTAGTAAAATGTTTAATGTGTTATTTTGATGTAACAGCTGTTACAATCCTAATATGACACTACAAAAATGATTGTCCCTTTCAATGTTGAATGAGTAAATTTTTGTGAATGGATGATCACTTTAAGCCACACATCCAGTCCAAAAATCACAAGGGCAAAAGGGAATGATTCAATAAGACATATTTGCACAACAAGCATTTGCTTCCCAACACACAATGATGCTACGTGGTCTTGCAGCTCAAGAAAGATGAGATGATGAAGGGATGGAAAATGAATGAGCTGGAGAGGGTGGGTATCTGAACCACAAGGAGAAAGAAAGAAAAGTTGGTCCACCTTGGAGACCCAGAGCACACTCCTGGTCTTGGTGGTGGTAGCTGGTGATGGTGTCTACATCCTGGAAAGAGGCACTAGGAGGCATTCTCCCCAAATCGTTCTGGTACAACGGACAGTGAATAGCACCATCTTGAGGCAGTGGGTGGAAAGGCTGGTGCATGGGGCTCCTTTTCAGAGCTTTAAGGGATGAGTTCCTTTCAGGAATATCTGGCAATAGTTCACTGATAAGACGGTGCAATATGCTGTTGTCTGGCAAGCTCCCTCTTCTCTTTTCAGCCTTGATCTGGTCACAGATGTCTTTCAGGGCAGAGTCCAGGGCCTCAAACACGGACGTTTTACATTTTGCCTTTTCAGTCTGTTTTTTGGGAGTTGAACTTTTTTTCCTCCGGAAAGGCACGGGACTGACTAAAAATGCAAGTTTAGAAAGACCAGGGTCCAGGTTTTGCCTTCGGGGCTCCTCAGGGCTTTCATGTTTCGCTCTTTCATGTTTTAACATCGTGGTAAACCGAGTATAGGATGCCGGGCACCTGCCTTTGCAGGAGCTGATGAGGTGCCGGTGATGGTGGTGATGGTGGTGGTGATGGTGGCTGGACCCGTAAAAACTTTCAGAGGATGTGAAAGAGAAGTGATCAAAATCGCTCTCGCTGCAGAAGGACGATCCTTCCACGTGGATGTAATCGCTGTGGTCGGACACGACGCCGTCTTGGTCGCTGTCAGAAAACTCCACGTGGGCTCGCGGCTGCTCCTCGCTGGTGACTTCGATATGGATGGGCACCAGGGTTTTAGGCTTGTAGCTTCGTTGTACCTGAGAAAGGTGCCTGCTCTGAGTTTCTTCCTCCAGCAAAGACTCAATGGAAAATCGTCTCTTGGGATATAGGTCATTTTGCTGTGGTTCTAGGGTGACCGGAGACAGCATTTCATCTCCTAAATTTGGCATGGACTTTGACTTTTGGATCAGCTTCTCAAATTCAGAAATGCGGGTGGGTACCATGTCCCTGGGCACCTCCTCCGTTGAGGACTGGCTCCAGCCCTGCAGCAGGCCCTTGTGCTGCTCCTTTTCGTACTGCATTATCCTCGACTTGACGGAGCAGATCACCTCTGGGTTCATCAAATCCTTACGGTTGATGCGGTGCATTTTCTTATACATTTTCAGGAATCCCGGGGTGTCATGAGCTGACCTGTGGCGCAGCCTCGACCTGCCATTACCGCGGCCCTCCTGGACGTAGGGGGATGCCCAGCGTAGGGGACAGGCCTCCTTGGCATCTTCTTCACATAACAGGGAGCCCATGCTTTCTGACTTGATTTTTGGGTCAGGGAAGCTATCGCAGTCATCATTTAGGAGGTCATCACAGCTACGGGATTTGATTTTGGGGGATACTGTTTCTTCAGTGCTACTCCAGACTTCTGCATTCTGCCGGGCCATTTGCCAGCCATTCTTGAAAGAAATGGCCCTCGGCGAGTCCCGCGGGATGTCCAGGTGCTGTCTGTAGGCGTTACAGTAGTCTAACTCAGAGGGGTTACCGTTGAGCCCTGAGTAACCGCAAAGGGGTGGGCATGTTTTGCTATCATCCCCACCTTTTAATCCAGAGCAGCGTGGTGGAAGAGAGACATTTGGAGAAGTTAAAAGGTTCGCAAAGAGGAGAGCATGTCAGTAAGCATCAGATAGTACAGCAAAGAAAAAGCAGTTAGTGTGACTGAATCTAGACACTGGTTTTTACATGTGTAGATTCAACTTTAGAGAGAAAAATCTAATTTTAAAGCAAGGCAATACTTTTTTCAATAAATGCAGCTTTGAAGATATTAGAGTTAACAAAACCATGTATATAAAGTAAACCATGTATGTATAGTAATATAAAGGTGTAGCCAGTATGCTTATATCTAAGCAAAATTCATATATCTTTCTGTAAAAACGGTATTCCAAAAACATAATATCTTTTAAATGAATGGCACTACCTGTCAATTTAAGAGTTTAACAATTAATGCCCAACATATTATAGATCTAAATTAACTAAACAGTCTCAGGATTTGTAACAAAGAGTAGTTCATACATTTATATCTGATTAACGTTCCCATAGTGATATCATGTAATGTTTCATGTGTATTTGTCATATAGGAAAAAACTATAAGACAAAGAACTTTCCAAAATAGAAAAATCAAGATGCTGTGAACTACTCTTCTTCTTCTTCTTCTTTTTAAAAAGATTCATTTATTTATGCATACAAGAACTGGGTGTAGGCCAGAGGTGAAGGGGGTGAGAGGATTCACCAGAGACAGAGTGGGGAGCAGAACAGGCAGATCTACTGAGGGGAGCAGTGGGCGAGACAGGAGAGCTTTGTTGTACCATGTGGGTTAGCCCCAGAATGGGGATGGAACTCATGTCGCAGTGGCTGGTGATAGCTTGATAGTGCTGAGACTTTAACTCCTGCACCACTAGGGAGGCCCTATTATTCTCAGCTTTTCTTTTCTTTTCTTTTTTTTTAAGAAAAAAGAGTATTTATTTATGCATATAAGAACTGGGGTATAGGCTATAGGTGCAGGGGGATGAGAGGAGTCACCAGATAGAGTGTGGGGAACAGAATAGACAGACGGATTGAAATACACTGCTGAGGGGAGCAGTCGGTCAGCCAGGAGAGGTCTGCTGTGCCTTGTGAGTAGCTACCTGGCTGGGGATCAAACTCATGCTTCAGAGGCTGTAGATAGCTTCACAGTGCTGTGCTTAACCCCTTGAACCACCAGGAAGGCACTATTTATTTTTTTCAAGAAGAAAATGTCTTGCTTCTTAAACTGCTCTATCTTCAACCTCTTAATAGGTCAATTGTTTTCATAAGGATAATGCAAATTGTTTTCATAATGCTATAATGCAAAACGTTCATTAGAACGTCATTAGAACTCTTCCTGGGGAGGTTCTTTAAAAAATAATCATTTGCAATTTGATAACAGAGAGCTAAAGTTAACTTCAATTTGAAATATATGGGAAACTATTCTTTTATTTTGGCTTGCTGAGTTAACTAATAAATGAGAGGTCAAATGACATCTAATTGGATATTTCCTTCTTGGAAATAAACAGTGGAGGAAAATATCTCCTGCCTTACAATCCCTCCCAATTCTTCAAAAATAGGCAAGCATATTAGTGAGAGATATAGTATTTGAGAAAGGAAGTTGACTTAACACTCCCTAGGCTAAAAAAAGTATCTAATTTGATCAGAATCTTCTAAACTTTCAGTTGGCATTCTAGCACAATGAATCAATGGCACTTCTTGCGCTATTTGTTATCTTAAGATATCTGTTGGCATAAATGAATAGAATTATGATTATTATTACTATTAAAGTCATTTCTTTAATCAGTTACACTGTAATTTGGTAATATGCACAAATACAGTAAATACCCATGTGCTGCCTGTAACATGTGATCAGTCCATAACATGACAGGAAGAATGAATTGGTTTCCATGACAGGAAGAATGAATTGGCTTCAAACCATAATTATAAAATTATAAAGTATATGAAATGCATATACTTTTTATTCTACAGTTTCCCTTTTGTCTTCTAGTCTATAAACGTGATTAATTTTGCTAGTTGTATTATAGTAACATTACAGAATTTTGATGATATGTAAATGTTTGCAAATGTGGTCTTGTAATAGCCTAACAATAAACTTTTTGATACTTTAAATTTGTTGAAAAATCACAGATAATATATTTCAGGGGAAAAAGTATTAATGATGACAGAGTCCTTTACACCACCCAAATGGTTCACCACCTGATTACTAGTCTAGATAGGAAAGCTACCTTTCTGAAAGCAAGAACGTCACCTTTCTGAAACTCTATTTTGTTGAAGTCACTGTATTCAGATGCTGTCTTGGGAGAGCGATAACTCTAGGCTAAAAGTGCTATTTGAAAACTGTTTACATTTCAGCTCACTTTTTTTTTCAGCTCACCTTTTGCTCTTGAGGGGGAAGAAGGAGAAGACCCAATGAAAGACTTGGTCAGGGTAGCGCTTGATCCCGGGAGGTCTGCTCGACCTGGGCTGGTCCTGCTTGCACTCTGATCCCCCAGGCCCCTGGGCTGCCCCACTGCTGGCTCGCTCTTCCTCCTTTTCCTAAAGTCACTGGCCATGCTTGCAGAGCTGGAAGAAGGTACAAAATGTAAGTTTGACCGGTATTAGCAGAGGTTCCATGTGAACTGGAAAGACTGTTGCAGTGTGCCAGTGATGCACCTCTTCATTTTTTTTTTTTTTATTGAAGTAATACTGGTTGAAAACTTTCCATTGGTTTCAGGTGTCAGCATTAGAATTCGACATCTGTGTATACTACCTTATGATGGCCATCAGCAATCACCATTTTGTTCTCATAGTCCAGGAGTTTGCTTTTATTTTGTTTTATTTGTTCACTTGTTTGTTTCTTTATAGTATCTGTTTTTTTCTGTCTGGCTTATTTCACTTAACATAATTACCCACTAGGTATATCCAAGTTTCACAAATGGCAAAATTTTATTTTTTTAAATATCTGAGGACTATTGCATTATGCATTATATCTGTCAGAGGTATAACTCTTATCCTCCATGTCCTGAACTGCATTTATAGGAATTCATTCTTTGATATGAAGATTATTTCTTTATAAATACTTTAGAAATTAATAATTTTTAGAGTCATTTGGGGTATACAGAAAAATTGATCTGAAAGTACAGAGGATCCCATCTACTCTTTTTCCCCCATCCTTACCTGCAGCTCCCTTTTTATGGACATCTTCTAGTGGTGTATTTGCTACAGTTGATGAACAGTATTGATACCATGTTATTAAAAGTAATTAAAACCCACAGTTTAGATTGAGTTTAATATTTTCTGTTGAATATCTTGAGTTTAAACAAATGTATAATGACAGGTGCCCATCACTACTATATCATATAGAAGAGTTTTACTGCCTTAAAACCCCCCGGGTTCTACGTTTTCATCCTTCTATCCCCAGGAATATCAGGCAACCACTGATATTTTACTGTCTCTAGTTTCACTTTTTCTAGAATATCCTATAGTTGGGATCATTGAGTGCATAATCTTTTCAGACTGGTTTCTTAACATTACGCTTTTAAGTTTCCTTCACATCTTATTTATGAATTGATAGTTTATTTCTTTTTATTGCTGAACAATATTTCATTTTATGGATTATACTACAGCTTAGCCCATTCTACTCAGTTATTGAAGGTTCTCTTGGTTAAATAAAGCCGCTAGTAGTTACTCATGTGCAGATTTGTGTAACATAAGCTTAACACCATCTTTTAAAGTGAAATTTCTATTAGTGTAACATGCTGTGACTGACAGTTCGGTGTTATGATTTATGTCATTAATGTTTCTCTATAAAGAAGAATTCTGACAACATGAATAAATACATCCCAAGGGGGAGGGGGATGAGCCAAGATGGAGGAAAGGATTGAATTCAAGGAAAATACATGGTGGGGCAAATTTCCCTATGACTTTTCTTAGCAATCTTAATTTTAAAAGCTGACATGGGAATTCCAACATTTTCTATTTAAATAATAAACTAATAATAATCAGGTCAGCAAAAAGATTCCTTTCCAATTGTACAAAATGGTCGAGAGTATAATGGCAGGGAGTTTTTATCACAGTTCTGGCTTGCTTGAGTATTGTCTCTTGAAAGACAAACACTGGTCAACAAAGACATATGCCACACATGCTGTCAAGTTATTAGATACATGCACATCAACAAGCGCTGCAGCACCAGCTCTGTGAGCCGGCAGTGTGCTAGTTGCTTACTGACGCTATCGTCTCTTGTAGACTGCAGAGCATATCTATGTGGTATGTGCACAATTACCACTGCTTTACAAATGCTTTGCAAACATGGAGGTGGAGCGAGGACTCCGAATTGTCTTATAAAGGGGAGGCCATGTTTTCCCCTTTTGCTCCACTATCTTGCCAGTCGTGGGGACTGTGTGTCTCTACTGCAATCCTCAGGTTAGGTTGATACTTTAAAATTCCAACACTTCAGTGCATATATAGATGTATTTGCTATTAATGTTAAAATAGGGGTGGGAGGCGCTCCTTTCTTAGTGATAATATGCCATTGGATGGCACTCATGAACTCAATTTTAAAATGGCCCAATTTTCAAAGTCTGTCACTATGTTGATAGAAATCTATGGAAAAGCAAATCTACAGAAAGACAGTGTTTATTGTTGATGGCATGATGTGATTTGGAGTTTGCATCATTCAATTGCTGTGGAAGTGCACCTGAATTTCTGCAATATTTTTAAGTGTGATATTTATTTATTAAAAGATTTATCTATCTATTTATTTATTTATTTATTTATTTATTTATTTATTTATTTATTTATTTATTTATTTATTTATTTATATAAGCACTGGGTACAGTCAGAAGCACGGGAAGGTGAGAGAATTCACCAGAGCCAGAGCTGGGAACAGAACAGGCAGACAGATGAAATACACTGCTGAGGGGAGCAGCGGGCATGGCAGGAGAGATCTGCGCACCTTGTGGGACCCTCGCCCAGTGGCTGTGAAATGAACAGGCGCTGCAGAGGCTGTGGGCAGCTTCGCAACCCAGCGCTCAACTGCTGCGCCTCCAGGGAGGCCCTTAAGTGTGATATTTAAAGCCTAGGAACAGAACTCAACCTGGCTGATTCTTATGGAAGTTAGGAATACTGGCTGGTTACAAGTTATTTTGGCTTGGTTTTACTGGGTCACTGCTCTTTGTGAACTGTGTAACTTTGAAGTTATGGAGCCTAAGTTTCCATTACTCAGAGGCAAAATTGGGAGAAGAGGATGTAAGTCATGAGTATGCTTATCTTAAGGACTGAGCATGTTTATGTACTTTGAATACCTGTTTTTTTTTAAAGATTTATTTATTATTTATACATACATGAACTGGGGTACAGGTCAGAGGCATGGGAGGTGAGAGGATTCACCAGAGGTGGAGTGGGGAGCAGGACAGGCAGAATGACTGAAATACACTGCTGAGGGGAGCAGCGGGTGAGACAGGAGAGGTCTGCTGCGCCATGTATGTTAGCTGCCTGGCTGGGGATCGAATTCATCCTGCAGTGGCTGCAGATAGCTTCATAGGTTGTGTCTTAACCCCGTGTGCCACCAGGGAGGCTCCTCATTTATTGTTAATAACAGTATTTTTAATTTGTTTGGTCAGAGTATAATAAAAAAATTTATAAATTTTTTATAATTTATTTCGATATTATCATATGTACTATCTAAAATATTTAAAATTAGATGTTTATAATCCCCATCTAGAGAATTAGAAAGGCTAGAGAAGATGGAGAGGGAAAAATATTTTTAGTCTGTAAAGAAATGCAGAATAATTTCACTTAACTTGTATACATTCTTGAATATGATCCTATAAAGTGATGCTGAAACAAGAGAAAAGTAACTTCAGATCAAGTACGTGCTTGAAAATAAGTGATAATCTAATCTTCATTATTGCTTTACTAATTAGTGTTACCATTGAAAAAGCAACCACCAGTATAAAATATTTTGTTTGTAAAACATGAGATCCTTACCTAGTTGGCCTTTCCAAGCTTCTGTCTATAGAGGATTGATACAAGGAGGCCTGTTAAGACAGAATAAGAGTTCCATGAGAATTTTTACCATTGCAAAATTTCATTTGTCTGTGGACATTAAAATAGGTATCCTAAAAAGAATATGATAAAAATTGAGGTTAAAAATATCATTTATTATGATCATGGAAAATGTCTTTTTTTCCAAGAGTAATCCTGTAACCAGGTTTCTACTTTCCTTGAATTGACTTTCTCTTCTGATATACAGCACATTGTTTCTCTGTGTCACTGAAGTTGCCCATGGGGAAAAGAAAAATCAATGCCCCTTCTGCATGTTGGAATTTGACTATAAAAAGAAATTTCCACATAAAGGGATGGTTTGATGTTTTAAATATATTTGTAGTCATTACTCAAACCTAATAAAACATAAACCTTTTAAATATTTTTTTTGGTGTGTTGCAGAACTTGAGATACCTTTCATCAGTCAACATAAACATGTCATTTAGTAAAAAACTATAGAATTTGGTTTGAAATTAAACTGCCTGGTACTTAAGTCAGTGTAAAGATATAGATTTATATCTTTTAAATTAACAGTTAAGTTCAGAGTTAGTTTAAACTAAATGTTCTAATGTACCAAAAAATAAACTTTAAAAAAAGTACATTTAATATTTTCATCAGAAAATCAACTCTCAGCTATCCATAGCTATAGGAACAATGAAAATAGATAATACAAATTGAATAATAATCCCAAGTGCTTATTATACACACCATTTTTATACTCCATTCTGAACTGTACAATGAAAGCAGTCTGAAGCCAAAATGTTAGATATGATTTTTTCACTTTCCATGACCACCAAATAAAATAATTGCTGAACTATTTAAAAAGCAAGGGAGAATCAGTGTTGGGCTCTTGAATACATAAGGTGACAGAGCAAGGCGAAAGTAATGAAATGTGAAGTCTAGCGTGTGTAGGGAGATAAATACCAAGTACATATATGTATGTTTTGGCTTTAGTCATAGTTGATGCTCAGGTCTCTATCTCAAATAAGTTTTGCAATAATGAAGAACTGAAATTCTAATCTGAAAATGTCCTACTGTATAAAAGTTTAAAAATGTTATCTAGAAGGCAAGATTTGACAAATTTTAAGTTGCTATCACACAGAAATATATTGACCAGAATATCAAAAACTTATTTTGTAGAGATTAAATCATACTTTAAACACTATTTCTATAACTCTGTTTTCTATTTGTAAATTACTAGCAACTAACTAATGAAACCATTAGTATATAATTTTGAGATTCTTCATGTCAATCAGACTGACAAGGCCCCTTATGCCTGACTTTAAATTGCTTCTATGAACTATTATTTTCACATAATTCTGTCTTACTGAGTGAGAATGGAATTATGCCCCAAAATATATTTCTGCAAAGGGATACCCCCCTTTAGACAACAACAACAAAAAACATAAAAAAGGATATTCTAATATTTTTAGTTTCTTGAAAATATTTAAATTCCTAAGTTCTCAATGAATGTAAAATTAGAAAAAAAATCTGTCTATGAATCTGAAAATCAGAAAGTAAATAAATAAAACCTGATAACTACTTGCAATTTAGAAATACTAATTTTATGTGTTTATAAATGAGCAACAGCAAAAAGCCTCAAAGCACTGACATCTGTGCGGGTCACATCTTCGTGGGACACCCAAGGACAAATCACATGGAACAGCAAAAATTCTCCATTTCAAAACACTCTTAAGACAGCCCTGGAGTTATCAGAAAATTTGAACTGCCAGCTTGTGATAAACCTAAGCAATATGTAGTATGAAATACTATACAGTGTAAGAAGTGAAGTCTCTATATTGATACCTGAATTATATTTTGGAATTATGCTGACACTACAATTATTTCTCTGGTACTAGTCTCCATAATCCAAAATAAAGTGAAACTAGGCTTGTGATTTTATGTGTTGTCAAAGGTGAAGATCAATATTAAATTATAAGGACATAGTAACAAGTCTAGAAGGATGAGTAAGAGAAAAATATGTATGATAATTATATGATTAGTACTCATCCTGAAATGGAAATTGTCTCTAGAAAAAGGTAAGCTATTTTCCCTACTGTGATTTACTGAGTATTTAACTATTACCATCATTTTAATTTCCCTAAAAAAGAAGGTCATTTTAAGAGAGCATAGGCATTGAATCACACTTTCTGCCATGTGATTGCTTGATTAAACTGCTTAAAGGTCCTTAATTGATCCTTATTAATACCAGTTTCTCAGTTATATTTATGGTTTAAAAATATTTATTTGGTGCATATACTAGGCACTTCATAAAGAGTGGCTAATGTCTAATTATAAATTTGAACAGAAATGTTTAACATAAGGTTATTAATGACAGAGTCATTTAACCGGACATAATATTTTTTACTTTGAAAAATGATGACATTAATTATAGTCTTCTGAATATGCCATTAGAATCACACAACACTCCCTCTCAATCTTATGCATTATGGCAAATCATATCAGCCACCAACAAAGTGCTTTTTATGTGATATTTTTGCCATCACCACAGTATTAAAGAATGTATCAAGTTAAGTTTCTATTGTTTATATGCATTAAAATTATTGTATAGTATTAATCATAGGCACCCATTTCACATAAATCTATAGTTTGCAAAGAATGGTATTAAGCAAATGGTTTGTTTCAGCTCTAAATAAGTCTCTTAAAAGATCTAAGATGTATGGATAAAGAAAATAACACTGAAGTGAAGAGAACTGCTTTATTTTTTAATTTGCCACCATCTTACCATGTGTTTTGGACATATTTCTTAAAATTGTTGGATTCTCCTTTCTTGAATAAAAAAATGAGTGGTTTGAACATGGTGATCTCTAATTTCAGATAATCAGTAACATTGAAAACATCCTAGCAACAATGGACCAAAATAGAACAGAAAAATATCTGACCAAATTGAATGCCAATGTAAATTATTGGGTTGTTTATATGTTGAAATGATACCCTTTCTTCAGGTATGAAGCTAACATAACATACAGAATAGGCTTACTTGTTGTATTCGGTTTTCTTAAGATTATATGCCTGCCCACAAAATATAAATTTTTAGAAGTGACTGAATACAATAACCCAGAATGTTTTAATGACTTTGTTTTGATTTTAATATAACATACATGCTTGAATTTTTTTGGTAAACCTTTATTTCTCTGTTTTAACATACACTCTGCAGCATACCTTAGGGGAAATTGTTTGGAATTGCAATGGATACTTCCTCCTGAGATTCTACCTGTAATTCCTGTTGTTGCCACCATGTGTCAGTAGTACCACTTGCAGCATACGCATCCTGTTAGGTCTACTTTCCGTTGCACATGTTTAAGACTTTTCAATGAAAAGAAGATATTTAGCACTTTGTATTTACTTAGGACCACATAAAAACTACTGTGAAAAAAGAAGTTTATTCACTTTATCTCATCTTAGCTGCTTCTAGGAATTCCCACAGGGAAGATTTTATAACAAGATATTTAGTAAAAGTGTCACTTTGCTTGTATCTTCTAGTAAGTCCTAAATCTGCTTTCTAAGACAATTTGCTTTTTCTTTGCTGAGAACATGGTAAAAATCTTTGGGTTCTGGATTTTTTCTCCCTTGTCTCATGTTATCTTTGACTAATACCACAAAAGTTTACATTGTCTGACATTATTTTTTTTCCCTAGAATATATTATAATGAACATTCTTAAGTAGAGATGGCAAATATATTTCATTGCCTACATCAGGGAAAACCTGTTTTAGTAGTAGCCCGGATTATAGCATGGGGAAGAGTTACTTTTGCCTGTTCAAGGGTGTGGAACTGGGATGTTGTGACATGTGTGCCAGTTAATTGTCAGCCCTCTTCTTGATTTTACCTGATGATAAAATTCACAAACTGCATTTAGGAAAATGAAAGAATTAAACTAAATTTTATGAATAGGTAGGGCATAAACATCTAATTATCTAAGAATCGAAACTGTCATCCTGCCCTTCCAAGCATGATGATAAAATGGCTCTGAGAAGCTTTCTAGTGGTATTTTGCTTATTCTAATCAAAACAGGTGGATAATATATGCACAAAGACTTCTACTTTGGACTTTTTTGATGATTACACAGCTGAATACCAGAATTGCACTGAACATGTTTTACTTAAAGTTATGGTTGGACTAATACTTCACCAACATTTCAGAAGAGCCAATGACTTTGGTATAATTGATGTTCAAGCAATGATCCTGGATACAATAATGATAAAAAGAGAGATGCTCAAAAACAGCTTAGCTACTACAGTGAGTTTAATACACATATCTTCAGAATCATAGTAACAGCTCCTAAGAGAGAAATCTGAAAAAGAGAGTAATTTGTTTTTACCTCATTGGAAACACCAGGAGAATGATCTTGAACATAGTCCAGAGCCTTTTTAGGAGGCTGGATGTAGGTGCACCACACAAGCAGAAGTGTAGAGATGGAATGGAGAAGAATCAATGGCAGCAAGGAATGAACATGTGGAAAAGGTGACACAGTTAGAAACTGAGTGCTGACAGCATCAGATACACATAAAGAGTGACATGAATGAAGCAAAATGGGGGTAGACTAGGAGGAAGAGTGCAATGTTTGTAAATATTCTTAAGCACTGGGCAAAATTACTAGTGATTGGATTAGTATATTTATAAAATCATTTCATCAAATTGAAATTAGCACTCCTAGTCTCTGGCCACAGAGGAATGCAAGGTACATTAAAGAAACATTACAGGAGCAAGTGGACAGCATGCTGGTGAGTTTCCATGTGTGGCTGAGAATGATTATAGAAAATGCTGAGAACTTTGGCTCAGAATAAAAATTGGTGTTGACCCTGTCAACTGTCTAATCAACAATACATTATATATATATTATATATATAAAATACAGCTAGAGATTTTTTTTTCCTCACAAATAATTACAGTTATGTGAATACTTTGGTCCAAATTAGAGAAAATATTCCTCCTCTAGGGCATAGAAGTTCTAGGAAAAATTCTATGGTTTATATCCATTTACAGTCACTTTTGATCTAGTTCAATAGGATAATGAATCAAACCAAGTCACCTTTGCATTTTAATGGACAAAGGGAACTACCATAACCCCCTAGTTTACAACACATATAGTCAGTATGTGAATATATAAATCAGTATATACTATGGCAAATCAAAGATTATATTCTCTGATCTTTAATAAAGCCGTGCAGTTTAAGTTTAAAATTTAGAAACACTAGAGAGAGGAGTATAAAAATATGCAACTGGTTCACATCAAATGTACTCCTGTTGGTTGATAAAACTAATAATAGAACTTGAGTAAATAAAGGAAATTGTTATTTGAGGGTTGGGTTGATTCTCTCCCAGACTAAGTAAAACTCACGAAGTCTATCCGAGAGGGGGGTCTGCAGATAAGAGATGTCACAGTGGCTTCACTAGCAGGAGTAGAAACCAAGGTCAGTTTCCTTATTTTCTCTTTTCCTCATATCCTTAACAATAGATGAGATCTTTTATAGCGGGAATATCTGGCAGTATATTAAAGTGGAACTGTCCAGAGTTTGTTTAACTTCTGATGATGCCAATTACTATCTTGGGAAAATTGTGAATATATTCTCCATGTGCTTGGAGCTCCTTAGCAGGTGGGAGCAATAATACTAGAATTATTATTTTAAAGTCATAGTGTTCTTCTGATTGAACTATACAAAAAGGACTGTAAACAAATACAAATCTTCTATCAATTTGAAATAATTGCCTGAATATTCTAGGACAGAAACTACTCCAACATTTTAAATTTGCAATTAATTGGATATGAAATAATCCTAATGCATGATTTAGTGGTAGAAAAAAAACTACACAGGAAATACGAGTACATTAAGTATTTGGTACAGATGTGAATGTGGGTAAATTGTCCTAAATTGGTGTAGATAGCTTGTATTCTCTAAATGACACCTATCTCTTCTGATAATGATATGTCTTATAAATCAAACAACATTCCCCTAATTTTCTTATATTAATAGTCTAGCCTCACTTACCGGGCGTCCAAACTCCAGTTCTGAAAAGAATTTATACCAGGGCTCATTTTCTAAATCTATGTCATCTGGATTTATGCGATCAGTCTGGAGCAGATGTGAAGGAAAAGGGAAGGAAAAGGCACACTGAGCTAAGTGAGGGAAACGCTGCGTGGTATGAAAAACACATACGCGCATTCACACGCAAACATGCATCAACTCTCATCCAACAAATCTCAGCAGGAGAGAACACAGGAAGTAAAGTAAAATGAGTCAAATTAGGATATGAAGATGAGCTTCAATGGCATCAATTAGCCCCCGAGTTACAGTCACATGTCACTTGACGACGGAGATGCCTTGAGAAATACATTGTTAGGTCATTTTGTCATTGTGTGAAGGTCATGAGTGTAGTTACACCAACCTAGATAGTGTGGCCTATGATGACATGACAGAGGCGACATGACGGAGGCGACAGGATAGAGCCTATCAGGCCACGTCGCACATGCAGGTCCCCCCCCTTGGTGGACACGTCGTGAAGTGACACATGACTGTAGTTCCTCAGTTCATCATTTTTAGTTTTCTCCTCAGCTTGATGTATAAACTATAGCAACTCAGTGACCAGGTAGCTCTTCCAGGTGAGTCACTCCGTGGTGGCTGCCCTCACTGGCCTTAGCCTGGTAAGTCTGCAGGCTGCCATCTACAGGCTCAGATGTGGGCCGATGAGAGCCTGGGGTGGGATGAGGTGGGAGGAGGTAAAAGGTGGGGAAGGGTAAGTAAGGGGTGCTGGGAGGCTGTTAAGGGCCTATTGATATGAAGAATCTGGGGACCACCCTGGCCCATTTCTTATACGCTGTAACTAACTAGCTAACTAACTAACTAAATCTTTAAAAAGATAAAAGAATCTGGGCTCTCGGTGAGAAAGGACTGAGCCAGGGCAGCAACGTGGGGAGGGGACCTGAGTAGCAGCCCGTGACTATCTTCTGAGCTCTGGAGAACAAGGCTACACCTGACCTTCCCCAAAGGCAACACAAACGTTAAAGCAGGAAGGAGCTCACCCAGATGGGAGAGAGAGCCGGGGTGCCAGGGCTTGGTGTGGGGATGCTGCTCCGGGGCGGAGGGGAGGGGCTACCAGTTACTTCTCCACAGGGTGAGGTAGGAAAAGTTTTCCGGCCAGGTTCCCGTGGAACAGGTGTTGGAGTTGGTGGGAGAGGGGGCTGTAAGACAGGGGGAAGGAAAAACTGATTTATCAGGGCCTCCCCTGGTGGCGCAGCGGTTGAGCGCTGGGTTGCGAGGCTGCCCGCAGCCTCTGCAGCGCAGGTTCGATCCCCGGCCACCGGTGAGGGTCCCACCAAAAAAACAAAAACAAAAAAAAATGATTTATCAGATAGAGGTTCTAGAGGGAGCCAGTAGCCACCAGCTGCCAGTGCTTTGTGGCCCACCTTAGGGGAGACAGGAGGGACAGCTCGAAAAGTTAAAACTCCCCAATAACTTTGGAATGGTCTGGATTACTGAAGAGAGGACCCACTCAGAAAGTGAAGAATCATCACATTTTATAAGATAGCTTCTGACCTGTGTATCTAGAGCTAGAGAAACGGCTTTGAAAGGATTGGAGTGTCTGGCTAAGCATGGGGGGAGAGAGTGACGGATAAAAATCCCACCCTGGTTTGGCTGGCACGCTAATTTAGCAAAAAACAAAACAAAACAATTTATAACTGACTTGCTTCCCTCCAGTGGTTTCTGAATGTTGTATTTAAAGTAGAAAAATTACGCATGTTAATTTGAAAAGTTGGAGAAAATATAGTTTAGTAATAGAAAAAATAGACACAGAGCATTTACTTTACCTAGGAACATCTTTAATCCTTTCAAATACTACATGCCTGACTAGATTGATTTGGTCCATTGATTTTATATTAAAAAGGGATGCTTAAAGAACTATATATGAAGTATTACTTGATAATTTATTACATGACACTAATTAAACATGGTGCAGTTGGACAGTAGTATTTAAACTAGAAAACAAAAGCTCCAGTTCCCTAAAAGCCATTCACTCTGCTGGAGATGATGTATTTCAGGAGGCCTATTACACACTCACTGCCTTCAAAGCAGATCCGTATCATTCCCTTATAATTCTCAAAGGAGCTCAAGGATTTCTATGGAGTAGCCACATCTCAGCCCTGGAAGAAATGCTCTACAACTTATAATTGGGTGCTTTGACATATGCCTTATTTAAACATTTTCACATTGCCTTGTCCAAGTGTTTTACTGACTTACTATATTCCCAGTAGGATTTGTTACTGATATATGGCTTGGATTTAATGATCAATTATATCCAAGCATTTTTAGAGATGTACTTTTTATTTCAATAGTCTATGAAATCATAAGGGTAGCTACAGTGATGGAAAAGTTTGAGACATCATAATCAAAAAGTGAAAGGCATAAGTTCTCCCAAATATGTGAAAATTCTAATGACAAAGACCATGTCGCAGCCTGGAGGACTGTTGATGATGGGATGTTAAGTGCTAAAAGCAGACTATGACCAGGTGCTGGTACAATTACTTTTGTGGAATCACAAAAGCCAGCCTGGACCAACACAGTAAGCAAACAAGCACATGAACAGAAGACCACAATGGCATTCTGGCAATGAGATTACTGGATCTTTTCTTTCTTTTAAAATGTATTTTGCCTTATTGTTATACTGTAATGGACAACATCCTACAATTACTATGGGGATGGTTGCAGGAATCTTCATATGTTTTTTCTTCATTATGCCAACATTATATTTGGTTGATATTTCAGAAGTAATAGTGAAATTCATAGACATAAAATATCCTGGTTGCTAATCTACTAGTTTCTGTTTAATTTTAAAGCTTGACTAAAATTACATTGATTCAATGGTGCATAATACTAATTAAAACTATATATTACCAAAATATTGAGTTGTGCGCAGTTACCATGCAAATAATAGCTGCAGCATATTAACTATTTCATGGGGTAGTTCAGCTGGTGCTGATTTCCGGGATAATTGACATTAGAGAGAATATTCTAGTAAATTGTGTTCTGTATACAACCTAGTATTTCTTCCACAGGAAGACAATAACCTTTGATTCTTTCCAATCTCGCTGTCTCTAATGTTTCATATTTAGTAATATTATTAATTCTTAATTTTATGATCTCAGCTTTCAAGTATGGTGTTTTGTTTTGCTAAGGGGGGTAGAAACTTAGAGCCAACAGAGTTGTTTAAAAAACAATTTGAACAGCAGAGGGCAGCAAATTTAATAAACAAATAAGTGTATTTACCCTGCAGTTACAAATTTACTTTGATTTTCACCTTAAGAAAATATTCAACGAATGGATATAATATAAATCAATTCTGATTCATAGAAGTATATTTCTGTGGTAAATATGGAAAAGGCAGTAATTATCACCCACACTATCCCTTAGAATGGCAGTTTCCCATGAATGATGATTTCGTACATTTAAAGATTATAGCAGCATTTACAATAGCTAAGTGGAAACAACCCAAATGCCCAAAAATATGGATCAAGAAGATGTGGCATGGAATATTACTCAGCATTCAAAAAAGATAAACACATGCAATTTGCAGCAACATGGATGGCGCTCATGCTCAGCGAAATTAGACTCATAGCAGGCTAGAAAACTTAAATCCGAATAACTATAAGAAAGTGACTATGATGATCAGAATTGCAATTGTATGGGGAATACAACAATAAAATTTATTATTAAAAAAAAAAAATAAAGATTCCATTTAAAGTCACAGTAGGGACCTATCTAGATTCTGTGCCCATAGGAATTAGTGTGGAATATGTCTCTCAAACAATAGTCACTGCTAATTTCCTGTAAGTTTGGAACATAATGAAAGATGCTTGTTTCAGCAGAGCCTTCATGGTTAAGAGACAGTATGACAAAACTGGAATTTTCTCTTTCCTATTGAATTCATTTAGCAATAAGCAATTAAGTGTATTATGGAGCAATCAAGACCCACTGCTGAGGTACAGACGCCACTTAGCCAGTGATCCACACACAGGTAGTCACCCAGCAGACATATAGATGCACACCTACGTTCTCACTGATTCAACACTGTCTACATGTGCCAGGGAAGTTCCTTGGGGCTGGATGTGAGTGTTAACACTCAGAAACTGACTTAGGACACATGATTAGGCTTTGCTCTGCTCCTCAAAGACAACAACCTGTTGTAACCTGCTTTTGTTTCTTCTCAAAAAACTCTAGCAAACCTGTGCTTAAACTAATGTGCCATTAATGCAAAAGAAGTGATTAAGGAAAATTAAAACTGTAAATCACATGTATTTCTTCTATAAGGGCAGCCAAGGGTGAAAATATTTAAGGTTTTTGTGCTTTCTATGATTTAAAAACATTTAGCTGTTTTGGTGTTACAGAGAGTCTATTAGTCTCAATGTTCTCATTGCAGGCATATAATTCCTATAGGTTGTTCCAAATAAAATGAATTGCCAGCAGATACGGGTTATTTAAAATTTATGATCTTAAGGATTTAAGTGTTAATGGTATTGGCTACTATGTTTTATGGTTGTGATTCCATTGTAAATGCTATACATAATGTTAGCCGGGGGGCAATTCTTTATGGTTCAAATCATCAGATGAAATTCCCCACAATTTTATGGCTTATGCTTTGAGTGACAATCTTCACTGATAAAGAAGGTTAAGTTCACTGAGGGTTTAAGATGCATTTCAACTCTGTGCAGTGTTTTCAATGTTTTTTTCCCCCAGCTTTTATCAAATATGTAGTAGTTCAGTTATCATAGAGAAATGTAATACCTTCATATTATTTTCTACTTAATCAAGAATAGAAAGGTCTTAAATAGGTGACTTACATAAATTTATTTTATTTTTACTTGACTCATCTATAAACAAATCCAATCACATGGAATGTAATATTAGTATAATCTCAGCAGAGATTTATAGGATCATCTCAAGGGATATATTGTAGGTCCAGTCAGTTTAAGATAAATTCCTGGTGATTGCAAAGTACTTCTTTAGATCAGACATTAGACTCAATCAATATTTTTCCAAATTTAGAATTGAATGAGTATGCACTTAAAAATTTGCATTCATTTTCATTTTTTATGTTAAAAAGCACTCTTAGGCACTTTTGGTCTAGGGATGAACATTTACCCCAATAGTACAGCCCTCTGTAGCCCTTCGAACACCAGGTCTCGTGGAGCTAGTGAACTGCAGTTACCAGTTGTCAAATCCCTTGGTGTGTCAAATCCCTCAGTGTGCTTGCTGGGAGACCCATTGTGCTTTTGTTACTAGAAATGTACAGATACCATAGATAAGGAAAAGAGGAGGGAGGGATTTAATCTTATCAAGTTTCTTCAATCACCACATGGGTAAAACTTATATTCTTTCATTCTTTTAGTCATTCAACAAGTATTCACTGAATACCTACTATGTGCCAGGCATTGTGCCAGGGTCTGGGAATACAATTGGTACACCAGAAATGGGCCCTGAATTCAACAAGCTTAAAGGGTATTGGGGGACAGAAACAACTAAACAGGCTACTAAAATTCAGGGTGGTGAGGGGAAATGCAGCCTACTTTGGCACATACTACTGTTGAGGAGTCTGGGTTGGTACCGGGGGAACTAAGATAGGCAGAGGGTGACAGGGGATTTTCCACGTGGAAGGGAGAGGTAGTGGAGAGGGCTTTCCTCGCTAAGAGGACACTGTGCAGAGGTGTGGCAGGGAGGGTACTGAGAGCTCTCTGTGTAGCTGGAACATAGTGGGTGAGGCAGGAAGGGCGAAGAGATGGGAAGCTGGAGAGATCAGCTGGAGCCAAACCACAGGTTTTTTGTAAATTATGTTAAAAAGCTTTGGATTTTGCTCTATGGAAAAAGTTTTGAGCAGGAGGCATTATAAAAGAGTTGGTAGAGCTTTTATTGTGGTTTGCTTTAAGTTGGTTTGCTTTTATTGTGGTGTGGAGACTGGATTGGAGAATTGGGGAATTCAATGAACCAAGTGGTGGTCAGTGCAAATCAGGCAATGGGTAATTTCCTGTCAGAAGGGAGGATTGGCAGTGGCATTTCTACCAGGGCGGAGGACTTTGAGATTGTTGGGAAGATGGAAATCCAAAATGATCCTTGGGAAAGCTGGGCAGATGATCGAGTCATCTAACCATTCCAAGAGCAGCAAAGGATTATCTAGCAGCTGTGCATAACTTACAAAAATTAAACATGAAAAAAGCAGAGAAATGCTCAGCCACCATCTTGGAGTGAAAAGACAGGAGAAGGTGTTCATAATACCTTGAAATCCCCAAGTATCATCCATTTACAATTACATCACCTTCATTTGAATTTTGCTCTATGGAAAAAGAATTGTACTGACCACCACCTGGTTCATTGAATTCCCTAATTCTCTAATCCAGTCTCCACATCACAATAAAGGCAAACTTTACCAACTCTTTTATAATACCTCCTGCTCAAAACTTTTTCTATAGAGCAAAATCCAAATGAAGGTGATGTAATTGTACATTACAAAGTTTCATTTAGCAAGCCTGCTCTTCATCTTCTATATCTTATGTGGTCAAGACACTCCAGAATCTCATGTAAATGACTTCAATATATAACCAGTCTGCAGTACCACTATGCACTTAGCCCTTTGATTTTTAGAGGCAAGTGGAATGAAATCAAGTTTGATGAAAAAAAGCGATAGTAGCTTAATAAATAACTCAAATCATGGTTGCATAAGGCTGGCTCTGAGAAAAACTGTTTCAGCAGGAGAAAAATTTTGGTTCTTTCTACTCACACTACCCATATTTGTTTTCTTCCAAGTTTCTAAGTTCTTTCCATTTCTCTTTCCTGGCTGCAGTTACCCATCCATACCTGAATCTCCAGGAATACTGCTCCTCTTAGATCTATCAATAGTTAAGGATATTGGTCTTGCAATTATTCAGGGTCCAGTTTCTAATAAAGTCAATCAAGTGCACTCATTTATTATGTTAGCAAATAAACATACTATGTTAGCAAACTAACATACTGCAAAAAAATGATCAAACCAATAAATTAAGTGAATAATTGACTATGAAGTGAAGGCATTTCCTACTCAGTTTCCCTGGGTGGTGTGGAAATCTCATGGTGATTAAAGGTACCAGGCAGGTGTCTGTCTGGGCTCAACTCATAGCTTCAGTACCCATCAGCTGTGAGACTCTGGGAAGAGTTGCTGAATGTGCATTTTAGTCTCTTCATGTGCAGAAAGGGAATGCCATATATCTATTTTATAGGGTTGTTGAGACTGTTACATGATATAAGGCATAGATAACTAGTGACAGGGTATGGAACATAGTAAGTGCTCAATAAAGATTTATAACTGTTTTTGTTATTATTATTATTGCTGTTTTTAAGCTTTGGCTCTTCAAAGCTTTAACCCAAAGACATGAACAATACATGATTTGAGTCATAATAATAAGGCCTGTGACTGAACTCTTGAGGGGGTAAAGGGAGGATTTTTTATATGTGACTCCATTTTAACCACATAGGGGCTGTCTATTTCACACATATGTAGTCTAACTCTGCATAGCAAACACATACTAAACTTGAAGTTCTTAGAAGTAGAAACTGTCTTATTTATTTACCATAGTGTCCCTAGCAGCTAATACAATGTCTGGCATGTAGCTGGTGCTCAATAAATTCTGTTGAATAAGTAAATAACAGAAATATCCTGATGATAAAGTTTCTAAAATCAATACTGTTACCTGACACCACAACTATAAAAGCAGCCCAATATAATTAGAATATAATCACTAAAATTCTCACAGATGTTTTGTAATTTACTTTGAAATCTAAGACTAATTATTTTGCATATTTATTTGTTATTTTCAACTTTACTTAATAATGTCATTGCATGGTCCCCTCAATTCTCATCCTTAATATTTCAAAGCATGATGGTATTTAATCATATAACCCAGTAAATAGGTTATGTTTGCAATGGACTCTGCAAATCAGGATCTTTCTTTTTTTTTCCCATTACAGTTTTCTAGTAAAGTCTTGTTATTCTAAAAGATATGAGTTATTTGAAGAAAGGCAAAGAAGGCTTAGACTAACATCATGTATGGATTATATCATTATAAGGTTTTTGTTTCTTAAGAACATAATCATAAATATAGGATTTCAAAAACTAAATCAAGGACTCTTGTGTGTGGTGAGGTTGGGGTTTCTGATCAATTCCAATACTTTCAAAGAGCTAACAAAGAAAACTATCTTTTTTCTATTCACTGACACCTAAAATTCTTTTAAGACAAGGACAAGAGTAAGTTATAAATATAAAAGCAAATGACTTCAATTGTTTCTTTCAAAAGAGGTTTTGATGGAGATGCAGAAAAATTATAGTTTCAGATACCCAAGGGTATTGATCTAGGAATAAAAAGCAAGCACTCAGACAGGACTGAGGAAGTCAAAACAAAGAGGGCAAGAAAGAACCTATTTGTTAAATTGCATTTTGAGGTTGTAAAGAGGTTATTTCAAGTTTATATTTTTGCTTGCATCTAATTAAAAGAAGCAATTGGAAAAAAATACTGCAAAGTTAAATATAGTCTTGATCCATTAGATTGACAATCAATCAGCAAACTTGAGGCTTGATAACCTGAGAGAGATTTAATAAGAATCAATTAAAAACAACTTGTTATAAAAATGGCAGCTGGAAAATTTCCCCTTAATCCAAAGAAATAATAAGAAACCAATATGGAAACCAAAGGTTGGAACTGCCTGGGTCCATTTGTACAGGAGAGATTAATGAATGATTTTTCTCTCTAGCAATGTAGACTTGTAATTAAGGTTGCTTTTATGAGTGTTTTTCTTTTATAAAAAAACTTGAAGCCAGGGACATGATTAGGTATAGCTATAGTTACATGCAAATGAATCCTATATTTGATTAGCAGGGGCAATATGTCAACAGAGTACATTTTCAATTCTGAGACAAGATGTACAAATCATGATACAAAATGATCATGATGCAAACAAATCGTGATTTCTAAATAATGCCAAATAAATTATATTTGTGTCAAAATTGCTAAGTGATATGAAATTCAGGTTTCTTTGAGAACCTTGGAAGTCTAGAGAGCTGGATTAATGTCAAGTGCTTACTGGTCTTTCATGCTGTAGAATTGACGACTTCCCAGGTTCATATTCAAAAATACTCCTTGGCTCGGAACGAAATTTTCTTGTGTCCACTTTTCTGTCTGGAGGATCCCAGTCATGCCTAGAAATAAACAACAAATTCCATGTTGAAATAATTCTCCATGCTCAAAGCAGCTGCATAAAACCAATCACTATCTGTTTTCAAAGTTAATTTTACTATAGATTAAAAAGAAATTCTCAGGATTAGAAAGTTAATCTGCAAACAATACCATATTTGTGTTCCATTGTATGTAGATGATTTAAAGAAAGCCATTTCTTTTATTTCTTATTATATTTTCCTCTATTTTTATCCCCCTACAATGACTCTCTTCCTGTTGGCTCAAATACTCACACAGGGGGTTTGTAATCATACAGCCAGTGACCTGCTAGTAAGTAAGCCCTTGGGTCACAGATGACAGTTGTGCAGGCTTGTGTTTGGACTAAGTGGCAGATTTGCTCCCATGAGCTAAGTGAGCTTATCCCAACCCTCTGTCACCAGGTATCCTTGATCCAAAGTGACAAGGAGTAATGCAAACACCGTGTTTGATCTTGTTTATCTTACAAGTGGCATCATAGTTGGCCTGCGAAAAGCACGAAAGCATCACTTCGTTTGCCATCCAACGGAACAGCTGTATGCCTCTGAGTGCCTCCTTTAAAAGCCAGACTCACACCTATCTCATTGCATAGGAGATGTTGGCATAAGCTCCTTTCTATGAATTCTTTCAAGGGGCTGTGGAGGAGGGACTGAGAAAGTAAAGCTTTTCCAGGTACCTGGGGCTAAAGAACATTTCCTTCGAGAGGATCATTTTTGAGGAAGAAGGATTTTCTAACAATAGATGAAGGCAATTTTGACTCAATGGAATGACATGATGACTCTTTGGCACATCAGAAATTACAATGCTCTAAGAGATGAGAATTAGGGGCAAGTTCTGGTTTTCTGGTAAACTGATGGATGATATTTAACAGAGGAGTTTTGAGCACTGCATGAGACAAGATCTATAAAAACCATTTGGGAATGTTAAAGGCATTATCGTATTTCTTAATAATAAGAGATGTATTTTTACAAAATACATTGGACAAATAAGATATTTAAGTCGGAGTTAATTTTGTTTTTTATGGCAGAGATGTCACTTTGTGTCTAGACAATTATTTCGCAACTGTAAAGTATCATACTTTCTAATCATAGAATTCATCATGAGGGGATTGATATTAAAATGACACACGTGATATGTGCCTACTTCCATGGTATCTTGTATCCTCTATTGCATCAGATACTCTCAATGGAAATATGATATTTATGGGATGGGTATGATAGATATTAATAACTAGTATTAATACTGAATAATTTTATATCTTTATTAGTTGGTAGTTTAGTATGAGTTTTGGACTTACTAGCTGGATGAGTTGAGCCAGTTACTAAACCACAGCTTTCTTTCTCCCTAAAATGAGTTTAAAATAGAATATATCTCATTGGGCTATTCTCAGAATTAAAATGATAGGATACAGAAAGTACTTAGTCTAGATTTGGCCTCATTAGTGAGCTTTATAAGTAGGCTCATTAGTCATAAGCCTAATAAAAATTAGTACAATAAAAGTATATTTGTAATTTTTAAATTTTCATGTAAATAGGTTATATAAAAATAATTCACTGGGGGAAATGAAACATATCTCAAAAAAAGTAAGTGGTTATGAATCATAGATAGACACTTACTAACAAATACCTTATTTATGATTTATGAATAATCTTCTCTATTTTCAAAAAGACACTTTTGCATATCAGAGGGGAAATATTAATTATTAATAGATCTAACATCTAACATTTCAAATTGAAGGAATCTGAAAATTAATGACATAGTCTATGCCTTGTTATACCAAAGGGAGACCCTGTCAATTATTTTGAGTAACTTATCTTCTTCTATGAACTTATTTCTTAAAAAGTAGAGCTTGTGCCCCTGCAGCTTCAAGTCTAACTTAGATCATGACAAAATATGAACCATGAAAGTGCTTGCTCCTGTCTCAGGTGGGGAGGCCCATTTGGCTCACGTACTGACAATAAGCTTATGTAGAATCTCTCTCTGGGTAAGGGAAGCACTAATTCTTCTACTGACTGTCATGCAGACTTATTCTTATCCTAAAGGAAACAAAGGCAACTTTTGGGCAAAATGCCTTACTTTTCCGTTGAAGACCGATATCTGGGTTGAAGTGGAGGAACTGGAGGAGGAACATGTGGGGGCGGGACCGGGGAGGAGGCATCCTTAAAGACATCTGGGCCGTTGTCAGAGTGACTTTTGGACAGGGGTCTGTAGGTCTGGGTCTTCGCTGCAGGATGTGACTGAGCACTATAGGGTGAGTTGTACAGGCCTATCAAGAGGCAACATGACAAAGCAAAACAGAAGGAAGGAACATTTTAAAAGCGCAATAAATAGCCAGTGGTTATACCAAAATAAGCCTATTTTTGATGCATGCAAAAGATAGTCTGTTCTTTGAAATTTATTACCATTATCAATTTACTAATCATTAATATATTAATTCATTATTAATATATTCCATACACATGCATTGATTGCAGTAAATCTTCATCAATTATTTTGGAATTAGTAATAATTCAGACTGGTAGTAGGAATAAGCTTACAGGTACTCAGCATTATTCGCCTGGATAATATTAACTAATAACATAGTTATGGTTTCAGAGGAAGATTAAAAGTACTTAGCAGAACGGTTTCCAATTATGTCCTATTACTTTAATATCTCTGACTTACATTTGATTATTGACATGTAAATTGCAATCAAACAAAATATTGGGTAAGTTGTATATGTGCTATGCAAAACTAAGGAAACACACACCCTCACTAAACTTATCAGGCATCTGGGGAAATGACACAAGCAGAATTAGGATTGGAAATTATTTGCAACATATGATCAAGACCAAATGAGGAAAGCATATATTAGAAATTAAGGGATTTTGGAAGATGGTGATTGGTCAGGGAAGGTATGGAATAGATGGGGTTAGCGTGGACTGTGAAGGTTTAGTCTGGGAAAGAGAGTAGCACACACAGGTGACACAGGGAAAAGAAAGAGGCAGAAAGTGCATGACTTCAACTCCTGATGCAGGATTAGTAGAAGGGGAAAGGGCTAGTTGTAGTTACTTTGTCTACTGATTAAATGCTAAAACTCTCTAAAGGACTTTACAAGGTTATACGTAACAACTCTTCAAATTTACCGATGACTCATGGATACAAACTTCAATACTAAAAAATTATAAAATTCTGGATTGCCCACAACCCCAATCTTTTTGAATTAAATCTGTTTTCACTCATTGTTTCTCCTGAAGGTCCACACACATCACATGACAAAAAAGAGACAATGACTGCACTTCATGTCTTGCCTCAATTGTACAGACTTTGATCTTAGAGCTAAACACAGGCAGTGACCTGGGGGTACCTACCACCAGGATTAAAAACACCTTAGTGGGCCTCCTGCTGTCATGTAGAGGAGTGAGGAAAACCAGAGGTCTTGCAACTTGCTTACTTGTTCTACTTGCTCCCTCCCCTCCCCAAACATTTATTTTTTGAGAAAGGTTAAAGTATCTCTGACAGTTCAAGGGCCTAAGTGTTGGTCTTTTGGTGTCGGGATGGAGAGAAGCTCATGCGGTTCTGAGGAGAGGCTGGCAAGGGACCCCTAAGTGAGGCTGCAGCTGCTCAAGGGAAAGCGAGCAGTCTGAGTCTGGGGGAGCCTGCTCTAAAGAAAGAAAAAACTGACGCTGGGTCACAGTTCCGAGCCTGGGGCTGGGCAGTTAGCAGCCCCGCGTGGGACCCTCTGATGTGACACATAGGAGGAAACGATAATGGAAAGTTCTTTTTAGGGGGCCCTCACTCAGCCTGCAACCACCTCTCCAAACACCAATGCACTCAAAAACACACCGAATTGCCCAGAATTGAAGTCATTCCATTATGATCATTAGCAACTGGGTCAGAAAAGAGGGACTTTAAAAACTCCAACAATGAATGGTGGTATTTTGGAGTGAAAGCATGGACAAGTCACAGAATTCATCATTTGACTTGGGTTTTTTTTTTGTGTGTGAAGTGTCTGAAAGATCTTATGCAACTGTAATCAGTCTATTGATTAAAGGAGACCTTTATCATATTTTGTACCCCATGACAATATGTACTTTCACAGCTGTCCTTCGCTCTGGTTAAACATTCCTGAAGTGGGGAGCAAACTAACAGTGGGAATGAAGGAGATACAAGATTGTTAGTTCTCATTTCCAAGAGAAAAGCTCAATCCTTTCGTCATGCATGCTGGGAGAAAGGAAAAAGCATCCCCCTGAAAACATGTGCTCAGAGTGACAAAAAAGTGACCGCAAAGTTCTTCCAAGCATTACAGAGCATCCAATGGTCATTGCAAGCAAGGAAACCCATCCTACCTGCATTATAGGTATAAGGAGTATTATACATGTCTGTGTCATCATCTAGAAAATGAAACATAAATATTTTGGTAATACAGATTCAGTCACCATAACAAGGCACAACAAGACAGCAGAATTTGGAGAAACAACAGAAATTTGTTAGAAAAACAATGTTTTTGCCCTGTTCATAGTACTGTTTTTAAATTTCCAAATGTTACTTTTTTTTCTGGACTTTGCGCTTTGCCCTCTCTTGTCTGCATCCTATTTGCTTTGTGGTTCTCTTCATAGCATATGAGGTCTGTCCCTTAGCCCTACTTCCCCAGGCAACTGTCTCTTCTGGATCATTAATTTATTTTTGTAGGTGCTTAAAAGATCTCCTTTCAACTCTGTGAGATCTACCTATGCCCACTCTTGATAAGGAGCAGTCATGTGTGGACAGAGGAATAATGGGTCTGAGTGAGCTGACAAAACGCCACACAGATTGTCAATAGCGGAGGCCAAGGGCACAAGACCACCGCACCTGGTGCTCCTCCAAGATCCCCTCAAACAAGCTTCTCAGAACCTCAGAGGTGAGGCAGGAGTACAGGGTCTGTGATTTGAGGGGTGGTAAAAGGAGAAGAGGAGGAATATTGACAGGAAAGAGGGAAGGCTGTGAAGTTTGCCAAGGTCTTGACATTTTGTGTGAACAAAAACTGTATAAATGACAAGTGTACAATACATCCTTCAACCTACAAAGACTTGATTACAAAACGGAACATACTTACCAGGCTTGTGCACCATGTGAATTTGCTTAAACATTGTCTTATACCAGTCCTTCGGTCTGTCAACTGTCTATAAAAGAGAAGTTCCGATGGTTACAAAATTGGTTCCAAACATCACTCCTCTTTCTATGTTTTATCTTTTTTTTAAAAGATTTATTTATTTATACAAGAACTGGGGTACAGGCCAGAGGCGCAGGAGGGTGAAATTCACCAGAGACAGAGTGGGGAACAGAACAGACAGATGACTGAAGACACTGCTGAGGGGAGTAGCTGAGGAGAGCAGCGGGAGACACAGGAGAGGTCTGCCGCACCATGTGTATATCTCCCTGACTGGCTGGGAATCAAACCCTGTGCTGCAGAGGCTGCGGACAGATTCACAGAGATGCACTCAACCTGCTGCACCACCGGGGAGGCCCTGTTTTATCTTTTTAAACAGTGGATTTCTGTTCTGTGATACATTTTCTGATCTCTTACTATTCCATAATGACAGTATAGGTAATTTATTCAGTTTTCTATGTAGTTTATGAATATAACCCCTTATTTGAGTGAAGACTGAATTGATACATTAAGAGTGGTGATTTCATTTTTACCAAATCATACTTGTGTGCAGCACTAGGTACCTGCTATTTATGCAAACATATTTATATAAAATTCACAGAATAAGATGAATAGTGTTGCAATAGTTTAGGTTAACTTATTTAGATGCCAATTATCATCATCCTAAAAAAAATTTTAGTGAGTGTTCTATTCAGGACATTATTTTTAGAATTAACTAGGGAATATTTTTGACTCAAACTGTATTCTGATCAGCTTAGACTTAGGGAAATAGAAATTTGATATTTACTAGTCTATATGAAATACTGGATGTAGTAGACAATCCAGAGTCTTAGAGGATATCAAAATATGGATATTGTTTAAAAATTTAGCATAATAAAATATGTAACATTTGCTTTGCCAAATTGTAAGTTTCTTGAGAGCATAAGTTCCTTGTTTATGTTGCTGAGGCTTTTGACATGATCGAAATAGTGGGTTTAGTGGAAAGTTTAAATTAATGTCATATCAACCCAGGCTCAAATCTTTGTTCCTTTAACTGCTGTTTAATAATTCCTACCAATAAGAATTTGGGAAGGTTACAGGTAACCTTTTAGAACTGCAGTTTCCTCCTCTTTAAAATGAAATAATGATATCTATATTATAAGATATTATGGAAATAGATTTGAGGCAATATATACAGAAAGGCTGAAAACTGAGCAGAATATAAACATTTCCCAATAAATAATAATAGCATGGAATGACAAGTATTTATAGAATGATTAAATTTGGGTTTATTTGGATAGAACCCCATCTTATTGCATATCTATAAAACACTATTGTATACTTGTGAATGTAGACATACACTTTTATAATAATAACTAAAGATTTTGCTGGGCAAGATCTTTACCTCAACATTTCCAAGCTACTCAGGCAAGAAATTTGACCATTCTGTGCACAGTAACTAAATATACCAGATTTTCTGAGGCAGTTCTCTTGAGATAAAATATAAAAAATATTAGGACTGCCACAAAAATAGTATTGAGCTTGTGAGACTGCACTTTGGTTTAAATTCATATCCTAACCTTTCTCTCAGAAATATGGTCCTTGCATGTTTCATTTGGAATTTGTTTTGTGCTATATCTAAATTTACTTTGATGTCTAAGAATATATGATTGTGGTAATCACGACAGATATAGACTAACCATTAAGGGTTACTTGACTGTTGCAAATCATCTCTTCATTCTTTCTAGGCTCTTTGTTCAATGAAAAAATTGAGGGGCTTGCTAATTTGCATTATATTTAAACAGTGGGAGCTGGTGGGAACCGGGCCACAATGAAGGAGCAGAGCTATTATTTATTGGTGCAGCAAAGTAGTTGGATGTGGATCTTTAGGACACATTTGTTTTCATAAATGACTGATTTCTCTTTTTTAGTCTTATTTTCTTTACAGCATTCAGCAGGAGAAAATAAGATGTCACTTTATGCAAAAATGTTTTTCAACCATACCTGGATACAACCAATGACAACAAGGAAGCCGAATAAGTTACTTATATCACTGTATATGGCAATGTAACTTGACAGACAGGGTTTCTTTTCTTCACTTGCTGGAGGGCATATATTGGGCGGGTTTCAGTTGAGCCATCTGCTAGCTTTATATGGTGAGCCCAGAGATGCCAGAAATGCCCCGTTGGTTGGCAAAGGGGAATATGAAACTGGTAAGAGAGAATACTAAAACTCTCAGTCCCTTTCTAAAAGAAGTACGCTCAGCGTTTAAAGTTCCCTTTATAAATGTCATCAAGGAGATTGTTATGGCTAATACTGAGATTAAGTAAATCAAAGGCTACTCAAATGCGAGGAAATTTGCTTTTATACACATTCTTCAAAATAAACTTGCACGGACACTAACTACCAGTTATTGCTTAGCTATTTTCTATAACCTTGATGAAAGGCACCTGAATTTTCACCTTCCTACAATTTACAAAACACCAGAGCTCTGTTGATTTAACATGCAGAGGTCCCCCAAAAGGAAAAGATTCATAATCTCTATGCACCAGTTCTTTGTTCTTGTCGATTTGCAACTTCGGAAATCCTTAATGGTGTCATGTTTGAACTGGGAGAAAAGAATCTTGTATTTCACTTCACTAGCTGGCCCTAATTACACAATTTCATGGGATGGGAACCCTAGCGATGATTGTCATTGTGGTTAAGAGTGGCAGTGAGCTCCCTTCAGCAGTGTATTTCAGTAGATCTGCCTGTTCTGTGCCCCACTCTGTCTCTGGTGAATCCTCTCCCCACCCCTGCACCTCTGGCCTACACCCCAGTTCTTGTACACATAAATAAATAAAAATCTTTTTTTTTTATTAGAATAGAATGTCAACGAAAGGATAATACAGACATCCCAGGTCACATGAGAGATAGCAGACAGTGGAACAGCTGCTGTTCCTTCAGATAACTCAAAGGAACATTTTTTGACTCTTGGCTTTCTAGAGTTTCCAGGCTACTTTACAAAATTCTGCTTCCTTCGCATAAGCTGCTTGTCTAAAATGGTACTGCAGCACGGGACGTGGAGGTGGTGCTGCCTTTGGAGGATACACTGAGCAGAAAGCCGGGTGGAGCAATTTGAATCCAATCATCTTTATTTTCCAGACAAATGAGGAAGAAAAATAACCTTGGAAACTCTTGGCCTGCTGCGACTCAGAGACAGCCTGACTCAACATTTATAAACACAACTATACTTGGGGATGTGCTCTGCAAGGCTGAAAAATAGGAGATGGAGTAAGAGAGGAGTCTTTCCAGACCTTTGCAGAGTTCACCTTCTTTGTAAAGTTTTAAAAGTCTAAATAAGAGTATGGTTGTGCATAAAAATGATGGTTCCTTTTAAGGAACTTCTGGGTTGCTTATATTTTATAGAAGGGAAACTGATATTGAATATTTAATATATGTGCTTGATAGGCATATCTTAATATATTTTTTATTTGGAAGTAAACAACGTAAACATTTTAATATTACTTTAGCTTTAACCACACTTATTTCAGTTTTCTTCTTTGAAAAACTAACCAGTAAGGTCATCGATAATCAAGAAAATGTTGTCTTATGGATTTAAAAAATGAACCAGCTTTACTTGTTCATTTTTTATAGATCATTTATTGACTTAAAAACCCACCCAGAGGTCTCAGATAAAATCTTTTCAGACATAATCTGTACATAAAAGCAGGGTTTTTCTGATTTGCAAATGTACATGCCTCAAAAGCTCAATTAAAACCAACGACACCATTTTGTCTGACACTGTGTCCCTACATTATTAGGAAAGAATCTCATTTAATCATTTGAGTCAGAAACTTAAAAATGAAACAAACGACAAAACACCATCCCCAGAACATAAATGTTGTAAGATTAAGAACATGAGTCACAATCCCTGAACTTCTCTTGTCACTTAAATATGACAACAGAGATTTTGAGGACTTTATCACTAGTCACATTCATCATTCCCAGAATGTAATTAGTCAAAAACACCAGGGACTACTATCCAGCTTTGCTTTTGAGTACAGATTCCTGGAATATTTGATTTTAAATATTCTCTCTATTCATGGAACACATCCACCCCATTAATAAATGCAAATTCCAAGAGGGCAGGAAACCCCCATAATTAGCCTTTAGGTCATTTTCAGGGTTTCCAATCTGACCACGGCTTTTTGTTCTGCTCTCTTCCCCAGTTCTTTTCCTCTGGCCACTATTGTCTTGGTGTGCCCCCTTCCCCCACTTCTGAATTTCAGGGAAGCAGCTCTTGGCAACATCCCAGCCAATACCCAGTGGGTGTCACAGGCAAAGTGTGAGCAGCCAGAGCCCTACGCCTGCACCACCCCTCCCCCAGGTCACCTGCAAAGGTGCTGCGGCTCTCATGCTGTCCCTCAGTCTTCCTCAGCCTCCCGTGGCCAGCACAGACCTTCTCTTCAAGTGGACTTGGTCACAAGCAGCTGCCTGCCCAAGCTCCCTCTGCTACCGGAGCCTTGCCAGAAGGGGCTGCCCTGACGCACTGAGCTATGGCTTGGCAGAGCTTAAAGACTAAAAAAAAATCCAGACACTTTCACTTGTCATCCCCAGAGAGCTCTCAGCAGGCACAGCTGAAGAGGGACACCTCGACTGTGTGTTTTCCCTCGGTTTTGCCTTTCCATGACATTAACTGCCTCACTTCCATCATCTCCCCTCCCAGCCCTGAATTCACAGCTCCCCTCGCCAGGCGTTAATGCACATCCATTTCAAGAAACACACCACTGGGTTATTTGCAATGCACGTGGGAATTCAAGGCAGCTAAAGAATCCACATTTTCTCCTTCCTTCACTTTGCTCCTATGGCCCTAATGCTCCTGGAAAAAAGGTAAAAATAATGACACCATACAAAACAGACTTTTCTTAAAAAGAAAATGGGAAAATATCGTGTCATTATCTTCAGTCGACAGTTCCCTTTCTCTGCCACACACAGCACAATATTCATGAGGACTCCGATGGCACGGAGGGCAAGCCTCATTATATAAGACCCTAGGAATGCACAAAGCCATTGACAATTCAGCCTTTGTAGAGTCTGCACCGCCCCCCTCCCCAGTGCCTGTGCTGGTATTTCTTTTCTTTTTTATTTTCCTGTTGCGTTTTGCTCTTTTCTTTTTTTTTTTAATAAATTGCTAATTTCCTTTTTATTTTTAAAATAATATTAATTTTTAAAATTTTTTTACATTTGTTCATTTTTAAACAATATTTGCTTCCCCCACGCCCTCAGGTGGAGTCCCCATGGAGTTTCCTTCCCCAATGCACCTGTGCACCATCACCTCAGTCCCCTGTGCTCCTCCCTCCCTCCCTCTGATCCCTCTCCCGCCTCCTCCCCTACAGGATGTCTCTGATTTATAATTGTCCGTTTTTGCTTTGTTGTGTTTTGTGCTGTTACTATTTTTTTTACACTGATGTCTTATTTGGTTCCCCTATATTTCTGCTATAAGTGAAGGCATCTGATATTTTTCTTTTTCCTTCTGGCTTAATTCACTGAGCATAATTCCTTCTAGTTCCATCCATATTGCTGTGAATGGCATGAGTTTATCTTTTTTGATTGCTGAATAATATTCCATTGTGTATGTATACCATGTCTTCTTGATCCAGTCATCTATTTTTGGGCATTTGGGTTGTTTCCAGGTTTTATCTATTGTAAATAGTGCTGCAATAAACATAGGTGTACAGGTGTTCTTTTGAATCAATGTTTTTGTGTCCTTTGGGTAGATCCCTAGTAGACGTACAAAAACAAAATAAACAATCCAGTCAAGAAATGGGCAGAAGAACTCAAAAGACATTTCTCCAAAGAGGAAATGCAAATGGCCAACAGGCATATGAAAAAATGTTCAACATCCCTTATCATCAGGGAAATGCAAATCAAAACCACATTGAGATACCATCTTACACCAGTGAGAATGGCACATATCAAACAAGCAAAAGCAAATGTTGGTGAGGATGTGGAGAAAAAGGAACTCTCCTACATTGCTGGGGGGAGTGCAAACTGATGATCCAACCACTGTGGAAAGCTGTGTGGAGATTCCTCAGTCTACTAAAAATGGAGCTACCATACAACCCGGCAATTCCACCCCTAGGGATCTACCTTGCTGGTATTTCTTACCGTTCTAATGGCCGTGGGGATTCCAGATTCATCAACAGGCCCAATCCCTGGGTAATGTGGGGCTTTGATGACCGTCACTCTCTTCTCTTCCTCTGACGATCTGTACAGTGGTATTGAGCTGTCCAGGGACTGCACATGCTGAGGATATGTCTCTGTGGAGTCTATGGAGAAAAGTGTGGTGCAAAAGGCTTTATTTGATGCAGAAGTAATTATAAATGAATGGTGATTCTATTTATGCAACATAAAGCTATTTCCAGCACTATCTCTTTTACTCTTTACCTTAACTTTGAGTCACCCATTTTTACATGTACATTGAAAAGACACAAAAGTCCTCAACATTTTATGAAGAAAGGTGAGGGGAAGAAGAAATTTGTTGAACCTTGGGCCCTTGGACCTGAGGCAGCCACTATGTTGAGAAAACATTGTGCACACATTACCTCATCTTACCCTTCTGGTAATTGTGGGGTGGGGAAGATTCTATTTGTGGTTGAGGGGGCAGAAACTAAGACAAGTTTAGCAAACTTCTCTCATATCACAGCTTACATGATATTACATTTTTCCATATATGACATTAACATTACTTTAATTTTTATATTTACTATTATAAAATAAATTACATGCATATTATTTTTATATTTATATTAGGACAATAGATAGGACTATTGATATGATAGAGATTTCATAAAAATAAAGTTAAAGTGAAAATCACATTGAAAATATTCACATGCAGACATATGGATATTCACAAATTCACATGCAGGCTTATGGATAAATAAGTGGTTGCAAATTGTTAGCATTGGTTTTTATTTAAGCAGCCATGATGATGGTAACAGCTTTGCTTTTACTTTATCGTAACAAAACCCACAACATCCCACCTCTTAAGTGTAAAAATTGCCCTAATCAATATAGATTAGATGAGATTTCTTAGGTTCCTAGCTCCATGCCATCTGTATTAACTTTTAGCATAATTTCATCAGAAACAGAGATCACACATGTACTATATATTCCACAATTAATTCACAGATAGTTAAGAAAATAAACATTATCATTCATCTGGTACAACTGAAAATATGTCTTCCTATTTTTCTCCAATCAGCTTTGAAATATCAATGACCAAGAATGATTCTTTGCCATGGCTTGTCAGATGAGTCATTAGTAAATTCTCTTTTTATGTGGCTATGGGAGAATCCTGATATTTGAGGGTAGTATTGATTGATTATACTCCCTTCCCCTACAAATGATATAAATCTCAAAATAAATGACTATGCTTATAGAAAATTTATATAAACCTTTACAAATAAAATTTTAGAATACTGAATTCATTATAAGGTAAGAGATAAGATCTCTGTAAGCTAGTATCTTATAAGCTTTATAACTGCTGTTACTATTATATTTTTTATTTTCAAATTTGCTCATATCACAGTAGAAAAGCACTTTAAATCCAATGAAGAATGGAAAAGATAGGAATAAAACTGCTTTATATGCTATTCTTTGTAAAAGAAGCAGCTTTTTTAAAGCAACAGAAAATTAAGAAACAATGTGATATTAGACTATAGTTTTCCATTTAATTTCAAAAAATGGGCACCATGACCCTAATATTTCTTTCAAACAACAAATATCTTTGAGCACCTAGTAGGTGCAAAGTGTCAGTCCAAGTAACAGTAGCAACTCTGTCTTCACACCTTGCTCATAAGATACTACAAAGATACTACTGAGAGCTCACATAAAACAGTTTAGCCTTTTCCTTTATTATCCTCTTATATGGTTTGTAGCTCTCATTTTTTGCAGTCTTTTGTCTTCAACTAAACATCAAGTTTCTCCAGGGTGGAACAGATTTATACATTCTCAGGACTTACCTCAGCATTAGCCAAATGGAATTTGTTCAATATTTATATAGGGAATTTCATTCTATGTAGTACAGTTTATATGTAAAATCTACCTATTGATAACTTTTAATGTAAAAAGTCTGTCTAAACTCAAGCATTTATCTGCTTTGTTTGGTAGGGTGGGAGGGAGAAATGTGTTCATGATGACAGGCAATATGGACAGGGAGTCAGAATTTGATAATTATTTGGGAAAATGTTATGGCTAGAATAATTTCTAGATCATTTATAATATTACTAGAATCATTTATTATAAATGTGTGATCCTGCATAGCTCCACACAAAATGTAGATATAATACACTCCCATTACACTACTTTACTGTAGACTGTTTGTGTAAGGGTGACACTTTGGCACAAGGAAGTTCTACTCCCTTCTACTCAAAAGGACAGCACTGTAAGATTCATAGATGATCCCCAGAGCAGCATTAGAGAAGACAAAAGTATATTTAGATTTTTCTTTAATGAGTCTCCTGGCTACATTTAAGTCATCTAGTTATAGAGGTTTGTTTGACCAGACACGGTGGTTTCACAATGTACATGCGGGAAGTGGGCATAAGATGTTCCTGGGTAAATTAATGGCATCCTGCTCTTTCAATACAAAGTGGTGTTTGGAAGAGGTGCTGCCTGGTGTCAGAGGATAACAGGAGATAAAATCCTACATTCCGGTTTCTTTCTCTGTGGGTGGGTGGGGTAGCCAGAGGAGTCGTCCTCTCCTGCCCTCCTGAGAGCTGTGCTGTGGTCGGCCTTGCTCTTTGGCGGTGCTTGTTTCTCACTGTCCTGAAAACTTTTAGTTGCTCACTATCAGGGAAACTTTTTCAGTTGAAATTCACATGATAGGTTGATTTGTTGTTTTGCTAATATTTTGTGTTTTTCTTTTACATTTTTTAAAACTAAGAAATATTCATTATATTATTTGCTAAACTGTCCTAATGCATTGTGCCACATAAAAATGCTCCTATTATGAGCCTCCCTGGTGGCACAGGGGTTAAGTCTCAGTGCTATCAAGCTATAGCCAACCACCGTGGCACAAGTTCGATCCCCAGACAGGGAGATAACCCACATGGTTCAGCAGACCTCTTCTGTCTTGCCTGCTGCTCCCCTGAGCAATGTATTTCAGTAGATCTGCCTGTTCTGCTCCCCTCTCTATCTCTGGTGAATCCTCTCACCCCACACCCCACACCTCTGGGCTACACCTCAGTTCTTATATGTGTAAATAAATAAAATACATTTAATTTTTTTTCTATAATTATGTAGCTCAGCCTCTTACCAGGAGGCTTCAAAGAGTGCATGAGCCCCGTGAAAGTTGTTGCTGAAAATTTTTTTTATGACTGCTCAAATTTTCATTATTTTTTGTTCTGGAGGTGAGTTACAGCTTTCTTCTAATTGTTAATTTCCAAAGGATTAAGAACTCTATAAGACTATGGAACTGTCCATTAAAGGAACGCACATCCCTAGCTGAGGGTCTTATAGCCTTAGTTTGAATAGTAGTTAACTACTTTGGGAAGCAAAAGTTTTATTATTTACTACTTAGTGATGCAATGCCTCCTCTGGTTAGGCTGCCTCAATGGCTAAAACAGTTCCTTATATCAAAAGAATTTTCTGCAATGAAACTCTTCAATCAAAGAAGGGGCTGTCCTGAACATGGTGGCATTGATGGAAATGCACCATGTGAATATCCTGGTGGTGAGAACACTCCACTGACCCACTAGCCATCTTCTCTCTCTTCCTACCCCACCTCCTCCATCACCTAACCTTTCCAGACTCAGCTGCAGAAGCACTCATCATCTTTCATCTTTGATAACTGGGTGCCTATTGTCTCCCCTACCCCGAACTGCTCCTCTAGGATAAGGTCATTAATAGTAATATGTTAATGTTCCTGCATCCTCTTTTTTTTTTTTTTTAGAAAATTACTTTGATACTTAATATTTTGCTCAGTGGCTCAGACCTGCAATATTGAAACTGCCATGAAATGACTATCAAATGACTTACCAAGTGACCGGCCATGATGCATGGTAAGGCTGGAATTGAATGAACCCGGTAGAGAGTAAGCGGATGGGGAAAACGGCCTTTGATAGTAACTCATTGGACTCACAGCAACTCCAGAGTTTCCATTCACTGTTATCTGGCTCTGAGAGAAGTGCAAAGACATCCAGTTATATCTTGGAGTCCCTGGTGAGCACCATTCCTTCATGTGACAGCAAAAGACTTCTGTTCACATGACAGTAATGAACTGTCAAATTCCTTTTTACTTTGCAAACTAATGTCTGCAAGGACAGGGCACATTATTCCCCCCAGTGTCTTCTCTATCTCCTTTTATTTCTAAAGATCATTTCCCCAAATGTCAGAGGGCACAGGAGGTGAGTAGGAAGAATGGAAGCAGCTGACCTGTGGGCACACCCCTCTGCCAGAGGAGATGCCCAAAGGTATCAGGAGGAGTCAGTATAAATAAATTTTCTCTTAAAACCATGGCTTAAGTGGACAGAGCACTGTCACACTACTCTGCACATGAGCTTCAAAATGATGGTCTGTGACCTGAGGAAAGGGATTGGTTCTTAGCCTTAGATGGGGATATCCTTGAGCGTTTCCAGGGAAAGGTGACTCATGCAAGGAACACAATTGTTGGGATTTTCACGTCACAAAGCAATCTATTCTTGGAGAATGAATACCTGGCAAAGCATTCCAAGATATGTGAAACCACTGGCTTCTCCCTATTCCAATCTCATTTAGCACGCCCAGCCTCTGTTTGGTTTTTTAATATTGTTTTTGATTGACTTATATCTGAGTGTCTTATACCCTCCCCCATAGTATTTCATGCTTCTTATTGGAGATGTTCATATATATACTTTTTCAATATATATATCGTTTGTAACATAGCAACCTGGTACTAATAACATAGTAGATATTCGATAGATACATATTCTAATTGAATTGAATCAGCTTAGCTCAAAAATTGAGCTCACCACTATTAAGCAAGCTTATCTCTCCAAAACACAGCCCTGAGAATTGTAGAGATTACATATTACATGCAAATGAGACAAAACATTAGTAAGAGCACTCAGTTAAAAGGATTGTGCAGATGCATATACACAAACACACGTATGTAAAGAACTATATTGTGAGCTTTCTCTAAATTTAAATTAAAAATCTATTTAGCAAAGTTGAAACACAGATGGAAAATTAACTTCATATTTCTGTAATTTTTCACTTTAAAGTAGTTGTTTTTAAATGGCCTAGAATAAAAATAATTTCATTACTTTATAGCCTAAAGTCAACAAACATTTCATTACAGTGACTGTGCTTTATTGATTAAGTACTTTTCTAGTTGTTACAGAAATCACTCTTATGTCTTAAGCAGCTGTATCTTGAGGTCTTCTCTCTGAAGAGCACAGGACATTCAAATAAATGTAAGGCTCTGGCCTACACAAATGTTTCAGAGTCTTTATGTGCCTTTGATGGGTTATTTGAGAATATTTTTGCAGCCTTAAACAAGTTAAGTTTGGTTGAACTTTGTAAATATAATTTTAATATTGTTGTTATAACATGTTAAAAGCAGGAAAAGTCACATTAAAAGCCATCACATTACTAGTTCACTAAACTTAGGAAAGTTGCCCTGAATCCAATTTTGATCATTGCCATAATATTGATTAGGGATTAAAAAAAGAAATACTGTAAATAGAATTCATCATGTTAAGACAATTTGAAATTTACTAATAAAATAATATCATGAAAACCTATGTGAAACTCAAGCTGCTCTTTGATTTTAATTTCAGTTACATATAGCTCCAGTTATGCCTACAGCTATATGTATATCTCTCAGGCTACTGGAGAGTCTTAAAAATGGAAAGACAAATAGTTTAGTACATAAATTCATACAGCATCCCCTTTTTGTATTTCTGATTAAGGGTCTTAACATTTGTTAAAATTCTGTGCTGGCTGAGTTCCTGGCACCAGAGGTAGGGGAGGGAATCTGGGTGATGGTAACCTCGGAAAGCGAGACTCTTTGTGTAGCCAGTCACTAAATGGAACATCTCAGGGCAAAGTTTTATACCCATCCATTGAATGAATACCAAAACCTGTCAAAAGTACCATTAAGCATATAATGAAGATACTAAAAAACATCTTTTTTCTCCCGTAACTGCAGTATCTTGGAAAACACATGGCTTATACTATTTTCCCTTTTGTGAAATTTGCAGATTTATACAGTGGTACACTATAAAAACTATGCAGCAAACAAAAATTTTACCTAGGAATTCCATTATAAAATCAATCAGAAGAATTTTTTTAATTTCATTAGGAAATCAATTTTAGAAAAAATTACCCATGATTTACCTAAAGTTATGTGTTTTTCACATTGAAGCCACTGTCTATCTATTATATGCAACTGAAAAATCTGTGCTGTAAAATTTGGAAGCATGTTAGCCATTCATAAATCATTTATTAGGGACAGCTCATCATATAGACATATTTAAATGATATAATATACATGGGGAATTTTTATGTATTGCTCTACATGCAAAATAAACTATTCACATATACAATAATAACATGTTCAAAAATTTCTACACTGGAATGACAAAAAAATCACAGGGCTAAATTCCTATAATGTAGATTAAGATTGTTTACATCCTTCACTCCTATTAAGACAGATGAGTTAAACAGTTAGTGACAGGAGAGCAAGAAGTAGCATTATGCTGTTAGTATTCACACATGTGAGAAACGAGGCTGTATTAACTATTCACACAGGACATATGACTCTCTAAGGCACTGTTACCTACCAGGATTTAATACTAGGTTAAAATTTTTGAACAGTTTTAGATTTTCCATCCTATCTAATCATCATAATATACATGTGCATATCTATTATCTATATTTCTGAGATACCCTATTAAGGCAAGCCCACAATACAGTGTAACTGTAACTGTCTCTAAAATGAATGAGGAGAATTAATTTTCAGTCCCAAGTAGGCATTTGAGGATGACTGTAATGGATTTCCTTGATGGGCAACATAGAATCAGTTTACTAATCAACACCTAGGCGAATAAAAATGCCCTGCAACAAAATAAGATGGCAGATGAGGAATCAGTCCTCTTGGTCTTTGGAGATCTGTTTAAAAAATGATGGAGACAAAGGAAGAATAATTACATGCATGGCAGCAGGGGTGATTAAGGTGGTGCCATCTGTCACAGCAGACCCCTGATCTAAGGTGGGGGAAGGTGTTTCAGAGCGGTCAGCGGTGTCAGAGTCAGCCATCTGCAACTCATCTGGGAGGGCTGGGGAGGACATGCTTGAGGAGGAGCAGGAGGACTGCTTGCCCTGAGAGGAGTCTGTAGTGAGAGCGCCTGTGGTGGTGCCCTCGATAAGGCACTTGGGAGCGAGGAGAGGGGGTTTATATACACAGAGGGAAGGGGGCAGGAGTCTGTGCGGGTGTGAAGGCCACAAGTCAGCAGGTGGAGGTAGGGACAGTGATGCTGGGCTGGAGCCACCATCTGGTGAAAAAGTGGTTCGACTAAAAGGTACCACAGAAGGAAGGCACGAAGAAGAGGCTTCTGCTGTGGTTTGACTGTGTGTCTGTGAAGCATTTACCTCCGGCACATTGGCAGTTAAGTTCTGGTTTCCAAGCTGAGTTTGAGGAGAAAATAAGAAGAGAATGTAAATGATTCAATTAATAAAACAGCTCTTGTTGCAATGTGGCAGAGAAAGCAAAGCACCAGTTTTATTTGCAAGCACTTTAAGGAAATGCATTGAGAAGGTGAAGTGCCAAACACACAGAAAAAGCATGAAAACATGAAGAAAATGAATGCAGTAAGTGTATTTGGGGGGAAAAAAAACAGTTTTCACACAGTACTGTGTTGTAATTTTGGTTGAGGCTTGAGAGCACCAGCATAACGAAGACTTTCCCTCTGAAGTTTTAGTTTTCGTACTTGTGGCAGTGAAAAGATATCAGGTTGTCTGATATCGCACATCAGAATTAGTTTTCCCTTTTCTAGAAAAATCTTGTAGTATAATTCTCCTTACTGTCTAGCTCCAGAAAATATTCCAAAAATATAAATTAGTTTGCCTCATTTTTTTTTTTTATGACTCATGAATCTAAGGATTCATGAGTAAATCTAAGGATTCTGGGTAAAAGAAAAGACAACTAAGTGGAAATGGAATTTTTTTGCCTTTATGCTCACTGAATCTGTTCTTTGAGTTCATTACAAAATACTGAAAGAATTGCATTTGAAAATAGCCTAGCAGTGTAATAGTGTGAAAAGGAAGTGAAAAGGAAAACCAGCCACTGATGATAGTGAGAATGTACCCTAGCTGGTTAGAACTACTATAGGCTTTAAATCTTAGGAGAAAGGAGAAAGAAACTGAAAGAGAAAGGAAAGGTTTAATACCTCCAAGGCTGTATAACCCACAGAGGAAACAAAAGGAGAATGGAACGATCTCATACCTCCATTCAAGACATGGTGGGGGGGTGTCTGTATAGGAGGAGAGTGGAGGGCTCGCTAAAGGTTTCATAGCTATTGGTGCTAATGTTGACGATTTCTTCACACATGTCAGAGAAGATGATGATGTGTCAACCTTGACAGAATGGACACAACTTGGAAGCAAATTTTTTCTCCCTCCCCCCACTTTCAGAATAGAAGGTTCCTTTTCAGTGTTTGGTTTAGCGCCAGTTGTAAGAGAGATAGACTATTAATACAAGGGTGGGGAATAAATTAAAGCAAACTATATAAACTTAAAAAATCTAGCCTAGTAAAGATTTAAGTGGTACCATTTGGTGTTGTAGGCCAATCAATATTTTCATAGCATTTGATGTCATGCTGGCTATTGATCTCATAAAAAAATAATAATCTTTTCTCTCAGGCTTTTAACTGAGTAATTAAAAAAATCCACCATGTAAAAAAGGATCTCTAGGTCACATATATCTTTAAAATTTGATGAAAGTTATTGATCCTACCCTTAAGAAAAATGTAAAATTCATATATACATAAAATTCTGCATAAACTTTAGGGGTTCATAGATACACTAACTATATCCTTAATCTAATAGGTTAAGAAACCCCAACCCTGGGTAAAAGGACAAATTTTCTTACTTTATTTCTATAAAATAAGCTTTATTGTTGTTGCTTAAACATATCCA